TGGGACATAACCAGAGGTAGAAAGGTCTCGGAAGCACTTGGGAAGAGGCTTCCCAAGACCTATCCAGTTCTGAACGGAGAGACCTAAGTAGAATTTGTCAGGTCCAATTATTCGACTCGGGAACACCCCATGTCTTCAATAAATGGAAAGAATGAGGGCGAATTCAATAGATGTCCCTCAATGTCAGAAGTGAAACCAATGGAGTTGCCGATTCTAATCCACTCTCGCATCATTTCCAGATTTGTGGGGAGTTAATGAATAGATGTGACTATATAAATCATTTGTTAACAATAATTTAGTCATTCTATCAATGCGAAGTTAGCACTTTAAAACAAAAATTCCTTCATTAAAAAAAAAATTACTTCTGATCAGTGGAAAAAGTACTTCACAAACGAACTGGATGCAAGTATCATGCGTCAAGTACCTGGGTACTAGTGAAAAGTACCTCGGAGAAGTACTTGTCGCAAGTACTTTTGATACTCGGGACAAGTAAAAAAAGTACTTATACTGAGTACCTGGCTGGTTATTTTCAAAAGTACCAACAGACTCAATATAAGTAGCAATAGTACTCAAATCCAGTACTCATAATTTTTTTCAGGAATTCATTCAGGATTACAAATGAAGATCCAAATGTTAGAGCACAAGTGAACATAGAAAAATCTGAAAGTAAAATACGTTTTTGAAATGGTAATTCACATTTTCAAAAACGTGATTTAGGATTTTCTCAAACGAGTAAATTACGCTTTTCAAATCGCAAACTACGGTCAAAAAACCGTGAATTACGATTTTCAAAATTAGAAATCAATTCGGTTTGGAATTAGTAATTTCACAAATTTTTTCCTACAAAATATCTTCTCTGAACCCTTTAATTTACAAAAATGCGCGAGACAGCTCAGTTTATCCGTCGATAATATTCGCTTTTCTCAATGAAGTAATCAATTGGAAGTACTGAAATTAAGTCATAAAAGTACTTGAGACAAGTTCAAAAATTAATTTTCACCAGTACCTTTGGTACTTGTGAAAAGTACTACAAGTACTGGCAGAAAGTAGTAAAGCTACTTCCTCCCAGTGCTATTTCTACTTGATCGGCAGAGATCGTCACTGAAGGATACAAAAAGTACTTGGGACACGTATTTTTCGAACTTTTCACGAGTGAACTTCTCCCAAGTGACAAGTACTTTTTTCTTTGGATGATCAGAACCAAAACTTTTTCATAATAAAAAAATGTTATTTTAAGTAGAATGTTAATGGATTTAAGTAAACATCATTAAGAATTGGAACATTTACTTAGATGTTTAGAGAAAATATTCTCGAAAAAAGCGAAAGCTTTGCTTATTTTGAGCGCTATTTCTCTCGTTTAACCCTTAAGACTGTTTTAAAATCCCGAAAATGAGTTTTCAGCTATAATACCCCAGGACCTTCAAAATTATCGGATATTTCCTGAATGTTTTGTTGCATAGCAACGAGAGGAATTTTACTGCAAAGCTGATCCCGATCGTTGATATGCAGGAAAACTTGAGGGAAATATCCGATGAATTTTGAAGATCGAGGGGTATTCGGAGGACAATTTCTTCAATTCTGATTTTGGCCGATCAGGGTGGAGTGTTCAGGGTTACGGGACACATCTCACCAAAATGTAAGGAATATCTGTCAAATTCGTAGAAAACAATTGACAGGCTACAGGGAAATTATCAGACTGAAGTGGGGGAAATTATCAATGTGAAACGCGTCACGTGACTCCGAATACTGCACTCTGATTGGTCAAAATCAGAATTGAGGAAATTGTCATTTTTATTTCATCCACTCCCTATCGGCCCATCCCTCAAAGAGTCATTTCCACTCCACACACGCTTGACTTGATTCACTCGTGATTTTTCATTCAACAGAGTTTATCTGTCTGGGAAAGGATGTCTGACCCCTTCGAACTGGCGACATCTTGCTCCGATTTTTTTCCATTGAAAAATTATGATCATTCGTGTGAGCTATGGGATACGATAAAGATGATATGGAGAACGGAGTTGAAGATGAAAATAAAAATTGAACGCTTCCGTGAACTTCTGGATAACAGAATTATTTGTGATTGGCCGGGGGTATATTCTCGACTCTTCCTGTTGTCTTTCTGTTTCGCCCAGTGAATTTCTTGATATGGTATGGCTGTTATACAATTCATATGTATGATGGAAAATTCATGCATGAGGGAGAATTTTTACTCACCTCTGGTGCACCTGTACCTTCCGGCTAGAGATGTCTGCGAGGAGGTGACCTGAAAGGATATGTATGTTAATGTCGAATACAATGTTTTGCGCTTTGAAGAGGTAACGCTGATGTGTGGTTCGGGGGCACCTGATACACCTCAAGTAATCGATTCAATATAATGAATTAATTAATTTTCAGTAATGAAATTGGAAGAGAGAGAGAGAGAGAGAGAGAGAGAGAGAGCACATCGACCTTTAAAAAAATAAAAAAAATCTCATTTACTGACGCTCGGTAAAGTAGAAAATAGGTTATTGGTGTATGATAATTATTAACAGATGAGCATTTACTGATGAAAGATATTCAAGAATTTTTAGTTTTTTGTAATTTTGTTATATCAATTTCCGATTGATATATATGTTGTAAACTGTGAAATATATTTTTTCAAGGGGATGAGTAATATTTGTTGTAATATGGCATTAAATTTCGAAAAATGTTTTTAAGCATGACTTATTTTGTTGGATGATAAAATTAATGATATTCTTGGATTATCTCGTTATTAATTTCAGGAGTTTAATTGCATCTTTTTCTGCAATGAAGGAACCTTTGTTCAAATTTCATGATCATGCAGCGGGGAAACTAATTTCTGGAATTCACAGGATTTTTTATGAAATTTTAAATTTAAAAAAACACAAGGTTTTAAATCAAGACTTTTATTCGCTAAAATGCTGCCTAGAGATTTCATTTTGCCTCCTATTTATGTCAGCATTTGTCAGAATTTCCAATCACAAAAAAAAATTCAAACTCTCGTGACCCTTTTTTTTATAAATTCGCACTAAATGAGTTGTCCCTCTCAGTAAAAATTCTCATCTTAATTTTATTATTTAAACTTTGCAGGTCTGAATTTGAATCTCGATATTGAACCGTTAGAAAACATTTGAAAAATGTGAAAAAATTAGAAAGTCTACTTTTGGAAAAACTTGATGAAATAATTAAAAAATTGCAATTTTTGAAAATAACGAGTCTTTTTTCTATAATTTATAAACAATCAATTTTCCACCATCAAAATCATTTGTTCGGAATCGTAATAAATTTTTTCATATGTAGAATTTCACCAGAAATAGATTTAATGCCTAAAAAAATAACGTTTCCGAAAGTTTAAACAATTTCAATTATTCAACGAATATTTGAAAAATAATTCTGTGCAAAATGTGATTTTAATGACACTGAATACTCATGTTTTTTTCCAAATTTATAAAAGCAAAACAAAAATTTTCGAATAAAGACCCTTTTTTTCTCTGAAGTGCTAACATGAGACTTCATTTTGCCCCCTCCCTATGTCAACATTTATCAGAATTTCCGGGCACTTTCCCCCCGAGAATATCCGAGGATCCAATACGAATGCTCCAAGATTAATGAGCTGTCATTATCATTATCATACCCGCGCACGCGGCATACAGATCTCATCCGGCACAAAAGTTCGAAGTGGTGTAATACCGTTCGGGATCAGCCACCCCTTGCGACCACCTGAACTCAAAGTTCCATGCGCGCTCCGAGCGTGCGAACGTCGGACTCCTCTGTATCTCGGCGCTCCAGCGAGCCAGTGACACGTGAACCACCGCCGATGAATTTTCCAAAATTTCCGCTTCAATGGCAATCAAAGTGCAACTAGTGCTGTGGGAGTGGAAAAATCAGGAGCAAAAAAAATGATTGTCCTCCGGTTATTCTCAGAGGGGTGAATTAATTCTTCAACGTTTCGGCTGATTGAAATTACAAATATGTACGGAATGCTCCTAGAGAGCGTCCAGCACTTCGTGCAGGTCAGTACAAGACAACTGGAGGCGAAAATTGAAAAAAAAATGAGAGGAAATCGTAAGCTTGGACTTTATAAGAATGAAATAATACTTCATAAATCGTGGAAACTTTTCCCTCTCCGGTGATTCATGATTATTACCCGAAAAATGTTACTGGGAGACGAGCGAACGTGCACGTAACGGTGAAATATCACCTATTTAAAATGAGAAAAAAAAAGGAGGGGAAAATTATGGTTATGAGAACTGAGTAAATTTGTTTTTTGTCAAGTTTCGAGTTGAGAATCTTGAAATATTTAGCAACTGCTAATTTAGGAGGAATTTCCACGTGTCTTTATTGATAAATAAATTAATTTCTGTAATGTTGAATGAAATTCCAATTTTGTAAATTATAGGAAAATGGAAATGATGAAAATTCGTTTAAATTACTCTGAATTCTCAATTTTTTTCAGTCAATCAATCAATTGAAATAATAAATCATCGTTTAATATAAAAAAAATTAATTTTCGAGCCCAATTTAAAACATTAAAAATTTTTGTGCAGCCAGTGAAAATGTTCATTTAAATTAAATAAATTTGAATTTAATCAAACGAATGGATTCATTAAAATGACTCTTAATAAAGCTCTTATTCAAATTAGAACTCGCTTTTATTGGTGTTTTATTCACATCGAATAAATGGTTCATTTCATTTCAATAGATTTATTTGAAATGAAAAAATTATTCAAATGATTAAAACATTTCCATTGAAATGAATAGAATAATTGCAAATAACTATTTTCATTGGATTGATTTCATTTGGATCGTTGACCTGAAGTTGTAACAACCACAATTGTAATGACGACAGAATGGAAATGACTCCGGAGTACTGAGAGCGATTATCCGTCTTCGCAATTCCCTTTCAAAATTAAACCCATTCATCGAGTCATAGAAACTGGTGGTATCTGCCCACAGTGAAATATTTATATTCAGTTATTCCTAAGCATTTAATGTCTAAGCATTTAATAATTTTTTTCTTTTGAAACCCTCTCCAGCATTTAGAATTAAATATTGAAATCTGTTTGATTCTTCATTTTAATCCGTTAAAAGATATTTTCTTAACTGGAAAAATTAGAAAATCTAATTTTTGGAAAAGATTGCAATTTTTGATGATTACGATCTCTTCATAAAAGTTTTCCATTGATCATTTAATTTGTTCATGAATAAAATAATTGATTAATTAACTTATTAATTTTCTTCATAAATTCTTTATAAAATCGATGGAAAATTATTTTTTCAGCATTTCCTTTTTATGAATTTATCAAAATGACATGTTTGAAACCAGAAATTCCTGTAAATAATTTTTTTCAAATTCTTGTCATCCAGTTCAATTAACAAATCTGATAATTAAAGATCTCCGATGAAAATTGTCCGTTGGAGTATCTTCAATAGAAAAAATTCAATTAAAGCATAACAAAATAGCAGACGAAATTTTTAGGATTTCCGTCACGCACCACTCGCGACTATAAACAGTCCTGCATTCGATTAAATTTATTATTTGTATGCGCAACCATAACGATCAACAATACTTCCGTTTACCCCGTATTTCCCTGAGTCTAATTTTGTTCAGTTCTTTTTATTTTCCAAAAATAACAATAAGGAAATCGTGGAGATGATGGGGGTTCAATTTGGAACAGTTTATGGGAACATTGCGTCAACGGAGCGTGCTTGAAATGCATTTGAATGGTCAATCACTCGGATGACGTTGAAATTATTATTGCGATCAGATGATGGCTCTGGGAAATTGGGGATTAATGTGATTGACTTAATTGAACTGTAGATGAAATTGATAGCGTGACGGGGAGAAATTATTTTTGCATTGGTCGTGGAATATTGTTCACGAAAAATTGTCTAAGGATCTGTTCCTTAAGGATATCCAAGTAGATTCAACCATTTTCAATGATCAAATTTGTCAGTTAAATTGCGCGTGAAAAATTTGAAAAAAATTATGAATATTCAGTGTCATCACAATTACATTTTGTACAGAATCATTATTTTTCTAAACATGCGTTGTTTATAAATTATTCATAGAAAATGCTCGTAATTTCCAAAAACTCGAATGATTAAATTATTTAATTAATCTTCCTCTAAAAGTAAACTTTCCATTTTTTTTTCAGATTTTTAAAATGTTTTATAACGGTTGTATATTTAGACCAGCAAATAAGGTTCAAATTTAGACTTGCAAAATTTAAATAATCAAATCATTGTAAAATGTCCGGAAACTTGAGGTCAAATGGGGCTCAAATGAAAATTCTAATGCTGGACTACAAGTAGAAAAGGATGTCCTTAATTCTAGATAAAATGCATAAAATCAAGCATTCAAAGCTCAATTTATTCGAAATTTTCTAGAATTGATATTAAAAATCTCATTAAATGTAAATTCATCAAAAAAATAAGGATCACGAGAGTCAACCGAGACTCAAAACCGTTACTTGCTATAGAAAAAAATGCTACACGAGGCAAGAAAATAAGACATTGATTTTTTCAAAATTATTCTCAAGTTATTTTTCAAGGTAAAAAGTTTATAAAATTAGTTCCGGAATAGTTGAGTTTCTAGAATACTCATGGATCGAGTAAGCAAAATAAGGATCAGTTGTGTCTACCAAACCCCAAAATCATTCCATTAATTTTTTTCCAACTCATTAAATGAGAAAAATTCTGCACAGAATGGCGCAAAGTTTTCCGGCAAACCCACCTCTCAAAAAATGATAAATCCCCTCACCCCAAAACTCTTCCCCAAACAAAAAGAGTTGAAATAACGTGGGAATAATCCAAATCCATCGATTCCCATCACGGGCACTAATCCCCAAACTTTCCCGAGAAAAAACCAATGAATCCGCCCTCGTCACCACCAATGATGGCTCGTCATAAGCCACATAATAGCACCCCCTCATCTTATTTCCCCAGCTGGAGTACGGCGAGAGAATATGGCTGGATATACTCCACGAAGTGGGCGCGAAGAATACAGTATTTAATACAAGGCAAACATATCCAGACAGTTTGATACCAAATTTAGCTCAAGCACTGGCTGACAAGACCGGTGACTCTGTGGACAACAAGATGAGATTCTTTGGAAAGTGTTTTGTAAGATTCTTCAGTAACCTCGGGTAATTATAATCACTCATTACATTAGGCTTATTGGCTATTATGATTGATCACGCGGTGGGGAGCTATCGAGCTCCAGCAGGGAATTCGCCCGATCATATCCCGAGGTAATTCGGTGGTTATTGGCCTCGATGGGGGAGGGAAATTGACACGATATGAACTAAATTTCGTGGGAAATCAAAGGTCGTAATGAAATTCAGTGGCGAATCGGTAAAACGGTTCAAGCCGACTTTGAGTACTGGCCAGTTTTCAATGAATAACTCGGAACCTAAGGGAGAATTTTTGTCAAAACCTTTTTTATAGCTCGTAATTAGCTCCGTGAAAAAGGTTATTACGAAAATTTCGTTATCTCCGTTAGTTTCGGAGATATTCCTCAAAAACTCAGATGAGGTTCAGTCGTTGCGATTTCTCATTCTTCAGTGCTTTATATCACACGCCATTTCATTGAGTGGGGATTCATAAATTACGATCCTTGAATTTTGGTATTTGTGGGTGAGGAAATTGCACTTCTCTTGAACTTTTATTGGAAATTTTGCAGTTTTACTGCGTGGTTATAGAAACTGTCAAATTGAAATTATTTTATGGAAAACAATCAGTAGAATTTCATCTTTCTATGGAATTAATTCTGTTGTGATATTTTTAACAAGAATTTTCCAAGGTTTTTCCACATTTTTTCTCTCCTTTTCAATGAATAAATCAAACAATGAAATTCCGAAAATTTCAGAAGAAGAATTTTTATAGAAAAAATATTTCAGTATAATAAATTGTATAAAAAAATTCCATCCAATTCTGCTGCGAAATTTTTCAATAGAATCGACCACAAAATAATAGAAATCCAATGGAATTTTCCAGAGAATTCGCAAGATTTTTTAAATTAGTTTTTTCCGTCCGTGTGTAATTATTTAAAATTAATGTAATCATTGAACTGTTTCATTTTTATTTGACCCTTGTTTACCTCATCATCTGTACCTGGAACATGTGTCCATTCTTTCTCGCTATTCATTTAGCCGTAATCATCATCAGTAATTTAAATGGGGTCATTTTCCATATTTTTCTCAACAGATTAATTGAATTTAATTGAACGTTCCAGGTACGACTCTATGATAAAAGCGACCGGCCGCTATTTCTGTGAATTCCTGCAGGGGGTCGACAATATCCACATGCAGATGAGATTCACCTACCCCAACATGAGGAGCCCCTCGATGTATATAACCCATGTCGATCCTCATGGGGTTGTTCTGGTTTATACTAGCACTAGAAAGGGATTCACGCAGTATTTCATGGGCGAGTGTTACCAGAAAGTCCAATTCACTCCACTGCGGATGAATAATACTTTTGTTTTCGGCGAAAGTTTAAGTTGCGAGGGGAAATCTCTTGTTTTCCAACTCCAGTAGTAATGAAACTGAATCTCATTGACATTTCTGAGATTATTGAAATATTTTTTTCACTTATTTTGAGGAGATTTTCCTCGCAATCGGATGACAAAATCCAGTCTTCCGTCAAAATTAATCAACATTTCGCTTACTTGGAATTGCGAATCTGGTTTATTGAATGGAGAAACGATCTAGTGTTGAATCAAAAATGATTTGAAATCAAAATTAATGTATTTTAACAACAAAATGCAAAATTGAGATTTAAATCAGGCGAAAAAATTCTAATGTTCAGTTTTTTCTTGCTCTAAATTTTAATTTCATTGAAATATTCTCAATTAAGGAACTCCACTCTACAATATTTAAATTGTTTAATGAAAATTTTTTATTTATTTCAAATAAAAGTCGTGAATTCTTCAGTTATCACTCATTTCCTAGAAATAATTAAATTTCTTGTGCACCAGAAATTTTAATATACTAACTTATACAAACTCATGAATTACAGGTCAACTTTTCCAAATAGCCAAAGATCTCTACGAAACTAGTCTTGATATTCGTGTATTAGAAACAAGTGATGATCAGCCTGGGGTAAGGCGAGTCATGGTGAAGTTCAGGATAGACTTCGATAATCGTGATTACGTGAGTTTAGTTAACGATGTTATTAATAATTAATCGTCCTGGGGGTTGAATGTGAATGTCTTAAAATAGGCCAAAGTATGACAAGCCTGCATACCTGATCTATTCAATTGAATTATTCAATATGATAGCAGTGTCTGTAGAACAAACGAACGGCGAACTAACGATTCCTTAGGAGAAACCAACGAAACAAATTTTTTTATGTAAGAGGGGTTTTATTCAGCCCCTCTTACATAAAAAAAGACCTTCTTTAATTTGTTCCACCTAAGGAATCGTTTGGTCGTCGTTTGTTCGTCCTGAAAACACTGCCATCATCTTGAAGAATTGCAATCTTTGACTATGTTCACTTAATGGATTATCAATCAATTAAAAAAGATAAAATTCTTGCAATTATTTATGATAACAGCAGTATTTTCAGGACGAACAAACGATTCCTCTTACCCTAGTTGATGAGATATAATTTCCTATTTCTAGATTGCCAAAGTTAATCGAATAAGGACATCACTCGGTCCCGAGTTGTCACCAGTCTCCGGTACTCTGCTCCTCCGATTATTCCCCTTCGGCATTGTAGTAAATCCCGAAATGAAGTTGCTAGGCGCGGGTGAAAAGCTGTTGGAGGCGTGGGGTGGATCGTGTTCAATATTGAATAAGCACATAAGTGAGGTCTTCAGGCTGCGGCGACCCACCGGGGTAACATTCACGTGGGCGAACGTAAGTTGTTATTCTCAATTTGTATTATTCAAGTCCTTTATAAAGATGGGTTTCGATGGAGTTACCACTTCCGTGGAGGGTGAATTATTCATTCCCTGTAGCACACATGATCATCCATCACTTCGACCTAAGTTTAATTCCCAGGATTACGACTTTAGTGCCGGGGAATTTTAGGCGATTCCTGAGGATTCTATTGATGGAGTACATGGGGAGAAGTGAGAAAATTCTATTTTTTTTAAATCTGAGGGAGACGAGAATGAAAGATTGGGAGCATTTTTTCTTTATGAATGGAACTTCATTCACATAAACCATCAATTCCAGGGATTCGTCTGTTATTTCAGGCACGAAAAATTTTTATAGAAAAAATGTTATGGAAAGAAGATATTCTATTGAATTTCTATTTGACATTCTAGTAGCTTTCAGTCCAATAGAAACTATTTTATAGAGAATAAATCAGTAACATTTCATTTTTCTGTGCAACTTTTTCTATTGGAAATTTTTGCATAGGAATTTCTTGATATGAATTTCATAAGTTTCTTTCACTTTATTTTTCTTCTCTTTTCATTAAATTAATTAAACAGAGAACTTATGAAATTTGAGCTCAGGACTTTCTGCAGAAAATACCAGAATAGAATAAAATAGATTGTATAGAAAAATGGAATCCTTTTGATTTTTTTCAATGAAATAGTTTCATTCGTGGGATCAATAATTTTAAGTTTTATCCATTGGAATTCCAAATTATCTGGAATTAATATAGAGAAAGTATCGCATTTATGAGAGGAATATTCAGGAAGCGAGAGAAAAAACTCTTCTAATTCGAATTTATAACGAAAATGAGGGTCACAAGGGTCTGAAATATTAGAAAACAAACGCAGATGTTCATCTTCACTAGGTGCGCTTTTTACACTCGGTTATGTTCGAGTTGGAATTGATCAGATTCAACGACAGTCGGGACGAGAATCGTCCGAAGACACCTGAGCCCGACCCCGATACTAAGCCTGTGAAACTAGAGAGAAGAAGGAGTCAAGAGTGTAGAAATATTCTCCTGAAAGGGCAGATGAGGTACCTCGACGACATCAAAGCCATCATTTTCCTGTGTAGTCCATTGTACGTATTATATAGCCCATCCCCCTAAAAATTCCAAAAATTTCGTTGAAAAACCTGGATAATTCTATTAGATTTTTAGTGAACTCTATTAGTTTTGGACCGATTCAATAGCAAATTTTTAACTAAAAATATTCTGAAGAAAAAATCGATAGAATTCGATAATTCCATACACGGAAAAAATATACCTGAATTGAGTATAAAATATACTTGCTTCAAATATATTTTATGCTCAATTGGGAAATGGATATTTCAATTCGAAGATGATTCTTTTGTATTAGGCCGGGTTGAAGCAAACCCTCTTAAGTGGAATATAAGGATCAGACGTTAAGTGTTAGAATATAAGGGTCAAAAAGTGGAGGTTAAAAAATGAGGGTCAGAATATTAGGGTCAGAATATAAAAGTAAAAAAGTGGGTGTCAGGCAATGAGAGTTTAAATATAAGTCATATATTATGCTTGATCACCGTTTTTAGCCCTTACATGACCCTCAGTGCCTGACACCCACTTTTTCACTTTTACATTCTGACCCTAATTTTTTGATCCTTATATTCTGACCCTCTTTTTTAACCTCCACTCTTTGACCCTTATATTCTCACACTTAGTGTCTGACCCTTATATTACACTTGAGAGCGCTTGGTACAACCCGGGCTGATACAAAATAATCAGTCTCGAACTGAAACACCCATCCCCCATTCGAGTATAAAATATACTTAAATCAAATATATTTTTTTTCCATGAACAATTCATTCTATTCAGGTATTTTCTACAGAAATTTATCCGCTCAAATTTCTTGAGTGTTTTTTGTTTCATTTTGTAATGAAAAAACTTGGGAAATTAATCATAATTTCTCAGAATAAATAGCCTTGACGAGCTACAAAGCATGGGAATCTACCTGAACGACCTAAATTTCCACGGATTGAGCAAGGAGATGGTGCTCGCTGGCTGGCAGCATTGCGGAAGGTATTGTAGTTGAAAAATCTCCCCAACTTTATTCATTAACATAAATTGTTAAAGTTAGGGGAGTTTGCGGGCCTTAAGACCATCCATCCGAGTTTTATCAGTTGCACTTGTTTTACAGACTCGAGATGATGTTTGAGAGGGAGGAGCAGAGATCAGACGAGCTTGAGAACAGCTATGCACTTCTAGATCGATGGAAGAACAGAACTGACGAATTACTTTATTCCATGATTCCGCAAACGGTGGCTGATCGATTGAGAACGGGGGTTAGTTCCCTCAGCACGTGTGAGGTAATGGGAAATTGATTAAGACTGGTGTTTTGGGGTTTCCGGTGGGGTAAGTCTGGGAGAATGAACGTGAATTATGAAAGTGAACTGTCCTTCTGTGGATTCGTTGATTATTCAACCCCATTAATTTGTTCAAACGGAGGAATTGATGAGAGATATAAAAAAGGAAGATTTATTGTTCGATGTCTTCCTAAGGGTTTCATTGGATTTATGGATTTATTTATATTTTACTTTCGTATTGAATGAATGCAGACGTGACGCCATTAGTTTAAACGAAAAAGATGACTCCATCTTCTCATTTCAAGAGGATTTTTTCATTTCCGAGGGAAATAATTTTTCGAAAGGTAATTTTATGGAATTCCTTCTATTCCAGTCCTTTGAATCCATCACTGTTCTATTCTGCGAGCTATGTGACTTCGATCATACCACTATCCAAGAAGCCATGGACATTGTATCATCGATGAACGCAGTCTTCACGTTTTTCGACTCCCTAATGGACGAATTTAAAGTCTACAAGGTGAAAGAAATTACGTTTGAGAACAATTAAGGGGATGCGTCGGTGAAATTTAAAAGTCTTCACTGGGCCTTGGGACCCATTGAACAGTTTGTGATGTACGACGGAATATGGAAATAACTAGGGAAAATCGCGGACCCGATCGATTTTACCCCGCATAACCACGAAAGACTTCATTTTTTCCTGTTTTTACTTTAAATGTTCGTTACACCCCAAAAAATGAAGTTAAGCATCCGTTTAACTTTATTCGCAATAGATCATGAATAAATGAGTTTTGAATTTCATAAATTTTTCGCGTCTCTAGATTTGAGTAAAATTTATGAAATTCAAAATTCATTTATTCATAATCTATTGCGAATGAGTTATTCCCATATTCTGTCATATATCACAAACTGTTCAGTGGGTTCCAAGGCCCAGTAAAGACTTTTAAATTTCACCGACGCATTTCCCTGAAGGGTGAGAATAAAATACCGAGTGTCTCGCGAATTCTCAATGGTTCCAGGTGGAAACTGTTGGACGCGTGTACATGGCCGCCAGCGGAGCGCCCGAACGGAGCAAAGATCACGCTAGAAATATAGCTGACGTGTCATTGCAGCTCATCACACGGGTGCGCTCCCTGCAATTACCCTCGGGGGTTGATATCCAAATTCGAATCGGTGAGCGGTAGCCCGTAAAATGAAGGGACGCAAGTTTGATGGGTTTTGTCGGACACTGAAAGAAAAAATTTGCTCTGCCGGAAAATTGTGTTCCACGTGAGAATATATGTATATATTTTTTGTAAACAAGCAGTATGACGGAAGCTATTTGACAGATCACTCATGACTGTTACTGTTAACAAAGTGATTAGAGTTAGTTTTGTTTTCTTTCCCTTACACATTTATCTTACATTTTTTTGCAAAACAAAAAATTATTCGCAGAAGTAATTAACCAACTTCATAGAAGGAAATTTAATATCTTTCACAAAAATTAAATTTCTGTCGTGATCATCAGGAATATCCCTAGCAGAATGCGAAGTGTTGGCAGGAAAAAATATAATCTATTGTACGACAATCAATTGATCTGAGAGGACTTCATAGATTTATACCATAGAAAGAATACATTGACGAGGAAAGAATATCGTTTTCCCAAAAAAAATTGTCCCCTCGAAATTATTTGGTTTTGCCAATAACACAGTTATCGGCAAGAAAATTGTAGTTTCCTCTTGAAATTATCATTTGTTCCAGGAAAATCATAAGTGTTTATTGGACAAAGATACACACTACTCAATAACATTCGCTTGATAAGACTGGAGTCTGATATAATTCTCTGTAGAACGACTATATTTACCTGGAAGCCAGAAATGTCTCACGAGAACAATTGCTACAACGAAAATCATCATGTTTTGGTGGAAACTTTCATTTTTGTCCATAAGTAAATTGATTCACCACGACAAAAGATTTCTTCAGGGGAACATATAATTTTTCGACCAAACTAATTTTTTCTCTCAGTGTACACGTGCGCTCTCTGTTCTTTTATTATTTCCGAGATTTTTCTCCAGGGATACACTCAGGACCCGCTGTCGCTGGAATTGTTGGGCTCAAATTGCCCCGATATTGCTTCTTCGGGGACACTGTAAATACTGCTTCTAGAATGCAGACCACTAGCTTGGTCAGTATTGTTAAACGATCCTTGGGACGAATGATACGGAATTCTACTCAAGTTTGTCCAAATTATCATAATTTCCACCTAAACTCGCTTCTCCATTCTAGCCAGGAAAAATACACATTTCACCAGATACTAAGGCCCTTCTGCCGCCAGATCTCTATCGCACGGAATCACGTGGGATTCTCTCGGTCAAGGTGAATGACAATATTCCCTAAAAGAAAGATTAACTAGCACTGGAGCTGTCTTCTCCCCTCATGTCTCAACACTTTTATCTTTTATTTGAAGGGCAAAGGCAACATGGAAACATTCTGGCTCCACGAGAAAGCCCCAAATCCACCGAAAACTGAACCGAGGGCTATTCCATCGATTCAACTCCCAAAAGTTTAAGTAATACATCACAAAATCATTCAAGCACCGCATCAAACAATCTCGATAAATCAATAGCATCATCTCCAGAATGTGCCTTGAAAATATAACAGCCTGTACTGATGAACAAAAATAAAACAGAATCGTTGAGCTTTCATAATGTCTTTAATAACTTAATCATGAGCATGAGTTTATCCTAATCACCCTCGGATCTAAATTAAGACCTCAGGGTTAATTATCGCTTGAACAACGACACGAATCTTTGGTTCTGAGGTCTATCCACGTTATGTATCGATTGACTCGTGCGTAAACACCGGGATACCCAGGGGCGGCGCAGCCTTCGCCCCACGAGACTATTCCTAAAATGATAAGAGAATGAATATCAATTGAATTACCTTAAGCTACTTACCGAGAGACGAAGAAATCGATACTAACCGACTATTTTGTATGTCTTGCCATCAAGCACGTGAAGAGGACCACCACTGTCTCCCTGAAAACATAACGACTTTAGAACTCACGTCGAAGTGATTGTATCGCTTTTATGATAGAGTAGTCTTCTATGATTGTTGCTTCAGGGCTCCGAAATTCGAGAAAAGCTTGGGGACGCCCCCACCCTTCCCTTGAGGGCGTGACCGGTGAGTGGGAAGTGAGGGAAAGAGTCGGTTTGTTTCTAGGACAATTGAGCGGATCAGACGATTAGTGATGCCGTGAGACGCGAGAGGAACGAGACCAACGAGATGAGAAACATGACGAGACGAGACGAGAAGATGCAGTTTCTCGTCTCGGCTCGTCTCCCGACATCACTGCAGACGATCTTACAGAAGGATTAAACAGTCTTGAAGTCAAATTGAATTCTACGTGCTTCAGTACCTTATGATCAGTCCACCCTTCTGACTGTCCTTGGGCATTTGATCCTTCGATCATTTTTCTCGCCCTCCCCGTGCAATTCTTATGATCGTTTGACTCCTCTGACGAGCCTTCTTGCCTCCTCACCGTTTTCTCTTGTCTTTCCCCTCCGACTTTTCATATTTCTACTCACCCTCAACCCGGTTGCTATTAATCGCGAACATATCACTTCACTTCGGGGAGTCAACTCCCCCGAGTGAAATCATAAACAGACTACTGTATCAAAACTAATATTTACCTGACACGAGTCCTTTCCACCCTCGGTGTACCCAGCGCACATCATGTTCTCGGTTATTTTTCTGGCCGGATATTTGGTGGCGCGACATGCGGCATTCGTCATGATGGGCACCACGACTTCCTGCAATGTGTCAGAAGTGGAGCCCGATTCCGCAGTAGCACCCCAACCAGTGACGATTCCCTCTCGTCCTGCGTAGGTGGGTCCTAAAAGGATATTTATCAGGGCAATCCATCGTTCTAGCTTCTACTCGCTTCATTAATACCAACCCCTGTCAGCCAAACAAACGGGTCTCATCGGACCCTCGAATATTATCCTGCCGTCGATCTTTATCAGGGCAATATCATTGTTGTAGTTTGCTGTGGAGTAGCTGCCATGTTTAATTATGTCGGCCACTCTGTAGGTGGTCGTTTTGGTGACTGATGTTTTGTTTCTGTTGTGGGCACCCACTATTGCTCTCATCTGGTTCTTGTTGAAGCTGGAAGGTGTGCGGAGGATTACTGTTAAAGACTCTCTGATCCTTCTTGCCCTTAATTTCCGAGAGGTCCGTCACCTCTCGGATGAGACAAATAATGTATGATGACTATTAAGGAGCTTATGAACCTCAGGAGACAAAGTTAAGCCATTTTAGTGTTCCAAATTAAGACATTCTAGACATTCTAGGTGTCGTAATGTCGCCGGCATAAATGTCTTAAGCGTCTTGAATTGCGACAGAAAAGATGCCTTAAATTTGATGACTTCACTAACATAAGAGAAAAATCGTCATAATATCACAAAAATCATTTCTTGAGGGAAAAACATCGCATATGTTTTTGATCAATTTATGGTAGGTTTCAGACAAGAAATCGATGCTCTTCAGGCTAAGGAGGTAGTTACTGAATGAAAACGTGATGGCTTTTTTTAACATCAGATAATATTCCTTCAAAGACAAGCATTATTTGAGAAAAGGAAAAGAAGATATTTGAACTGATTCCCTTTGAACTCAAAGCGATTAAGCGTAAGCGACGGTTATATATTTTTTATATCTGGAGGTTTCCCTCTGCATAAACTCTCTATTCATTCAATATGTGATATGATTCATTGAATCGAAGCTTTTAATATTTTTAGTCATTTTCTCATCTTCTGTCACGAAAAACCCGATTTCTTGTGGCAAGAAATTCTCACTTTACAATGAAATGTTCATGTTCAAGTCATAAACACTTCATCGAAATCTGACGCGTTATCCGGAATTCTTATCCCAAGAAATTTATCCTCAAGAGATATTATGACGATATTTCTCTCAATGCTGTGTTTCAAAGTATCATGACGATGTCTTGTCTATCAAACGTCTTGTTTTTACCGATCCACACAGTGCGCCGCAGTCAGCAGATACCGATCGCTGATTATCGATGCTGCACAGTAGAATTTATTGTTGTAACTGAGGTAGACGACCCACGGGTACTTGTTCATCACTGCCTCGACGCCGCCTACTATCCGATTAGGGGGGGCTGATAACCCGCATTCTGGTGAATGAACAGACGATCTCTTAAGAATTTTATGAATAAGTACTGGAAATGGACTTGATGCTTACGGCACTTGGGGCAGTCCCGAGGGTCCACCGGTGTTGGCTTTGTCGTGGTAGTTGTGAAGGGGTTTGGCAGCCAGTCAATGAAGTTCTTGTCTGGTAGGCCACCTCCTGCATCAGTCTGAGTGCCGTTCCACCTCGGAACAATGATCGGTTCACGCGGACGAACATCTTCACCCGGTCTTTCCGTCGGATTTCTTTTCTCCCCATATGTTTCATCAATCGTCGGCTTCTGGTTCTTGTCAAAGGTCAAATCAGGCAATTGTTCAAGAGCCGATTCAACTCCAGACAGCAAACCCTCTCCAAGGAATTCCTTTTCAATATTATCACCGTTCAGATAGAACCCGGGAATCAGCACATCCTGTGGAATAACCCGAAGTCAATGAACTCGAGCCGTCAAAATCACTTTTAAAAGCCGAGCATCCGTTGAGTTATGGAAGGGGGTCAATGATGTTAGATGAATGTCAACAGAGTTAGAAGGTAAAGCAGGACAATGCCCTCAACGATGACTGTTAGTGCCCGATGATAACGAGAAGGTCACCTTCGAACCGGCAAGCCCCAGGTGCTCCCCAGGGTCAAGACCACCGAGGCTCGATTGTTCGCGGAAATTCTGCCAGATGTCCTCCGACAACACCACTTTCAATCGAGACCCGGGAATGAGGTGGCCCTCGGCGGCAAATAATCCAGAATCCGATGACAAATCGATGATCAACAATGCCAACACTCCTATTGTCCTCTTCATAGTGTATGAGTGAAATCAATTGACACAATCACTTATATTGACAAATACTTGACGGTCTCGCACAGCCCATCCACTTCGACGGTCACTTTCACACAAGCCTTCCTCATCGATACGACATCGTTATATATACGGAATAGTGGACAAACGGGTACAACCGAGTGAAAATTTAGGCTAGCAGTATTTTTCGATGCACGATTTAATTTAATTTCCATCAAAGTGAGATATCAAGCGGCGTTTAAACGAGCGTTATCAACGAGTGGTGAACCACCTGCTGGAGGCGTCACGCGACCGCGAGATAATTATCTAAGATATACAGAAGGTATTCCGTGTTTGAAGCGAGAGATCGGGGAGACGGAAATTTTTCCCGCAAAAACCGAAATCTCGTTCTGTGACCTGGTTAACTCGACACACATCTGGGGTAATTGATGGTCAAGAGTTGTGGGCCATTTTCATCGGTCGAGATATTCATTACGATTATTTACGTTTCGTAGGTGTTAAGCTAGAGGAATTATTTCGGTTTCTTATCGCGAGAATTGGGCGTTTAAATGAGATAAGAGAAATTGTTTTGCGGCGCGGTTTTTGTCTTGGTGATACCATTCTTTCAGGACAATCACTGTGGCCCGGTGTACCTGTAAACTCGGAGGTAGCAGTGGGTCAAGGTATATGGGTCACAGCACCCTCATGCGGGTGTCAACACTGCGTCGCGATTTGCTTTATTGTCTTGTTGGTGTGACGACGTTGAGCCTAAATGACGATTTTTTATCGTGGATAAACATCGGCCTTGATTTTTATTTGGCCAGGGTCAAGTTGCGGAATAGACTGAGGGGCTCAATGACTTGTACGGTTTAGACAATGGGTCCCTTTGAAGCGGAGAGGAGAAGACTTTGAGGGCTATTGAATAGTCTTCAGTGGACGTGATAATGGGGAAGATGAAGGAACGGGAATGTTGGGTAATGAGAGGTTTTCCAAATGCAATTGTTGGGAGCATAACAAAGAAGCAGGGACGACGGAGAGATTACACTGTCAGAAATTTTTTGTAATTTCATGGAAGATATTGTAGTAAATCTCATGAGAATGAAATTGAATCGGATTTGGGGAAAAAATGGTTATGAAATTCCAAGTTTTAAGTAGAATTTATGGAAATTTATGGGTTTTCTGTGGAACATGAAGATTCAGAAACAAAATGACATGAATTTTCAATTTTTTCCTGAATTTTCCTGATTTTTCTGAATTTTCACAGAATAATTGAACTGAAAAATCACGTATTTTATTGATTGCCAGATCATTTGAACAGAAAATCATTGGAATATTTGATTTTTCAATGATTAGATTTCCAGAAATTTCAGTGAAACTTGAACACGATAAAGATTTCCGGAATTTAGCACGGAAAATTCACACAAAAATTTTTCAACAACACTGTGGAAACTAGTGTCTTCAAGGGGTCTTAATTTAAGGGATGGGACACAAAATGTGCCTTGTCAGCTGAAAACAAGATGTTTGATACAGAAGACATTTTCGTAATGGCTTGACTTTGGTGACATCCATTTTCTTCTAATTGAAGTTTTGAATTCAGAGGGTTAGAAGTATGATGAGGATAGGAAACATTAATTAATTTCTTCAATATTTAAACTCTAAAACTTTTTACAGGCATTTTTAATTGAAAATTCATTTGTAATTAAAATAATAAAAATTATCCGTGAAAAAATGAAAAAATAGAAAACCAGAAAATTCCGATAAATATATCCTTGAATTTTCATGACAGTGACACTGAATGCAATTTAAGGGGGAAAAATCATGAAATTTCAAATTTCACTGAAAATTCAATGTAATATGGCACTGAAACCATTCATATTAGATTGGAAATTCAAATAAATTAAGAAATTTTCGTCTTCATGCTGCTTAAAATTTTGGAATTTTACTGAATTTTCAGCGAAACCTGAAGTTTCATCATTTTTTTCCCCCTAAATCGCATTCAGTGTCACTGTCCTGAAAATTAGTAGCCAACTGTCCATGAAATTTCATTTTTTCTCTAACAGTGAAATTTAGACATTCGTTTTTACTGTGAAGTGTCTCAATTTCAGACACAAGTTTTCCGACTGAACCTTGTAGTTCAGAAGCTGATGAATATTGTCACCGTCATCCTGCTCAGGACAACGAGCCACATTCTATCGCCTCCTTGCGACATCTTCGACCTTGTGCCATTGACGATGATCCACATCCTGCGGTAATAAAACAACTCCATTATCGATAGACTAAGTTTGCCATAGCTTAGCAATCTAAAATCGTGTCAGCCGTAATGTACCGGCCGCCCTTGAGGAAGACCCGCAATCGTTCTCGAGTTCCTGGAAGATCCCAATGGACCGTTGAACAATTACTCCTGTAGCAGGAAAACCAATCCACTTTTTACCTGAATACTTTGCATTCATCATAGTAACTCTCTTATTGGTGCCAACGCCCCAGACGTGACGATCATCACCGAAAAGAGCAAGTGTTCCTTATCCGAGCCTCATTCTCCTGCGAATAGGGACACGTACGATCGTTTCACGGAGGTGAAGCAGGGGAGTCGACACCCCCGGTCGAATGCCTCCGACATGGCTGCCTTGGGGGTCGTGCGCGATGATTTGGGGCGGAGGATGTACACGTGTCTGACGTATACGGGAATTCAATTATTCTGGGGGTGGGTTTGGATATGTCATCCTCTGTATCACTGGATCGGGTCACTGTCAGCGACAGGAATTGATGAAATGACGGGATATACTTCTGTTCTTGTTAGCGTCTTAAATATATCCAAGTATATTTTACAGCTTGGTAGAGACCACTATAGATTCTACCATTCTCAATCATAAAATTTGTCAGTTAAATTGCGCAAGAAGAATTTGAAAAAAATGAAGAATATTCAGCGTCATTCAAATTACATTTTGCACAGAATCTTTACTTTTTTAAACATTCACAAACTTTATTTTTTTAGACATGAAATCCATTACTGGTAAGATTATGAATGTGAATGAATTTGTTACGATTCCGAATAAATGATTTTTATGGGGGAGAGTTGATTGTAAATTATTTCTAGAAAATGCTCGTTACTTTCAAAAATTACAATTTTTTCATTATTTCATCAATCTTTCTCCAGAAGTCAACTTTCTATTTTTTTTTACTTTTGAAATGTTTTCTAACGGTTTAATATTGAGATTGAAATTCAAACCTGTAAAATTTGAATAATAAAAGCATTGTAAAATGCCTGGAAACTTACGGCCAAATGAAGCTGAAATGAAAGCTCTGATGTTCGATTGCAAAAGTACATCATCACAAATGTAACAAAAGTTACATTTTGGATAGAATTATTATTTTAACATTCGTTTTTCATAAATAAATAATTGAAATTGTTTCAATTTTTGGAAACCTTATTTTTTTGCATTAAATCGATGTCTGGTAAATTATGAATATAAATAAATTTGTTACGATTCCAAAAATTGATTATTTATAAAAAATGCTCGCAATTTTAAAAAATCTCACTTTTAAAATTATTTCATCAATCTTCTTCGAAAAGTCAGCTTTCTAATTTTTTCATATTTTTAAAATGTTTTCTAACGGTTCAATGTCGAGATTCAAATTCAAACCTGCAACGATTAAATAATAAAATCATTCTAAAAATGTCCGGAAAGCCAGGGTCAATTGGGGATCGAATAAAAGCTTCGATGTTCGCTTACAAAAGTAAAAAACCATTTCACTGAAGAAAAAATCCCCAAAGTACTTAGATCTCCTTAAATGAACAAATTAAGACGTGCATTCTGAACATGCCAGGTGTTTTATTCGAGGATGATGTTCTATTTCTTCCAATAATTTTTGCAAATTCATTAGATTCATTAATTTAGTTAATTCACTTAGGGTCTTCCATTTGATCAAGCACTTGGTGAAGCAATCTCCATCATCTCCGTGCCACACCGGTCTCCCGGACAAATAAATAACGAAATGATCGATAAACCCCAACAAGAAGAAAGTGAAAATATTCGACAAGGGAGATGCAGGGGTCCTCCCAGGATGCAACTTTCATTTTCTCTTACGAAACGGCGACACTTTGGTACCGCAAAAAAAATCAGTGTTTGCATTGATGAATGCGTGGGAAGGCGTGCAACCAATTGTGGAGTGAACAATGTACCAAGTGTAACTGAGTAAGTTCATTCTCGAATAACATTGGCTGTTGTGGTATATTGCAACATGTCTCGAAGCCGATCCATATGATTCCATGGTAATACAAACGTTGTATGGTAATGGCCGGGGGACAAGAATGATTTAAAGGCATGGCGGCACATCTGCCAATGCAAACGCACCGGCCAAGGTGACGCCCCACCAGTCAGTACAGTTTATTAGTTATAATTTACTATAAAACGGCAAAACAGTCTGGCACGTCCACTTTACAATCGTCAACGGAAGTTGAAGGGTATCGGAAACCCGGTCGTGAGTCTGCCCAAGTTGACGTTCAACGTTTCTAGCCAGAGCTTTTACTTCTTATTATGGGCTTCGTTAGAGTTGCTATTCTTTGTGCTTGTGCTATCTGGGGGGTCAACGTTTGCGAGACTTGGGCGCGAACGAGTTTGGTAAGTTTGTCCGGTGGAAAATTCAATAAAGTCGTATGACTGATTCTTGAAATGGAGGATTGATTGAATTAATTAATTTTACCGTGATAATTTCATTTGAAGACTGTTATTCAGCTGCTGATCCTCAAATTAATGGGATTTTAGAATGAACTAGTCACCTCTTCTTGGATTGGGAGAAATAGGACTCCTTGAGAATTTAATTTATTTGATTTTTTTCAAAAGTAACATTTTGCGGGAACTTGTTTTTACCCAAAAATAAAACGTACTTCAGAAAGAAATAATTGATATTCACTGTAAGACGTTATTTTCAACTTCTTTGACTATTTAATACTTTCTCCGAGAAAAAAAATTAAAAAAAAAACTAATTTTTTCCATCAGTGTAATGGAATAATGGGAGATCTTTGTCAATGAATTGGAAATTCAACTGTAATTAGAGCGAGATAAATTCCGGCGTTTGAATTTTAGGGGAGATATAGCAGACTCATCTCACCGGGATCCGATATTCCAAGACGACTGAATGCTACCAAAAGACAGTCCATCGATGATGATGATCTAGGGCTGATCGAGGGGGATAATGATAATGAGGGAAATCCAGCTCCTGCCGCGTATCCGAAGAGTCCGGAGTTTTGCAGTGATTGCGGTCAGTAAATAATTAGTATTGGGTAAATTAGAACACGTCCAAAAAATTTTCCTTAAAAATTTTCATTAAAAAACCCTGCGAATTCGGTAGAAAACTCCAGGAAAATGTCCGTTTTTAGTAAAAAGATTTGAGTCGACTTGGCCCTTAGTTCAGTTTTCGAGGAATATCACCGAATGTAAGGGATGTATCAAAATTTTTGTAATGACCTTTTTTGTAGAGCGCATTGAAAGCTCATAACAAAAATTTTGATATCTGTCTTAGATTCCGAGTTATTCATTGAAATCTGACCCATAGTCGAAATCGACTTGAACCGTTCTCTAGAGAATTCGTCGATTTTCTGAATAATTCAAGGAAAATGTTCACTTTTATGGAAAATCAATTCATAACACTGCCCTTATTTCTCAGCAACCACAGGTTTTCATCAGATCACTTTCAAAAATGAAAGAGACTTCATCAAAGATTCAAAATTATTCATTAATTCTTCACGTATTATTCATCCTTATCGTTGATTCAGTTTTTTTTCTATGCACCATTCATTTTTATAATGCATTTATGAATATATAACATGTAATACATTTGAAATTTGAATGAAGATTAATACGCTGAGAGAATAAATCAATTCTGCAATTAATTTGTGGACAAAAAATAAAGTTTCCACCAAAACATGATAATTTTCGTAGTAGTAATTGTTCTCGCGAGGCATTTATATGTCTTTCGGGTAAATACATTCGTTCTGCAGAGAATTATATGAGGCTCCGGTTTTCTCAAGTGAATGTTATTGAGTAGTGTATATTTTTGTCCAATAAACACTTATAATTTCCATGGAACAAATGATAATTTCGAGGGGACAATTTTTTTGGGAAAAAAAATATTCTTTCCTCGTCAATGTATTCTTTCTATGGGATAAATCTATGGAGTTCTCTCAGATCAAATGACTGTCGTACAACAGATTATATTTTTTCCTGCCAACAGTTCGAATTCTTCTAGGGATATTTCTGATGATCGCGACAAAAATTTAATTTTTGTGAAAGATATTAAATTTCCTTCTATCAAGTTGGATAATTTCCCTGAAATATTCCCACCTGCAGAACCAACTGCAATGTCTCCAGATTAAAAATGTAAAATAGACGATAAAACCTTTCTATATGATTACAGTTTGTGGAGCCAATAGGAGACAGAGAATAGTCGGAGGGGATGTCACGAGTTACCAAGAATTTCCCTACGTTGTTGGACTGACGAAAGCGGGTGAATTCCACTGCGGGGGAAGTTTAATTACCCGTCGGCACGTGCTCACCGCAGCTCACTGTTTAGCCAAGTAAATTAATCCACCTAGATCGACACTCGAAGGTTAATTATTAACGCTAATTATTCTGACCCTCGTTATAATCCGCAGATTCGACAGCCAAGAGTTCACTCTGTACCTGGGACTCACGGATATTACCAGCCGGGGTCCTTACGTCGTCCGACGGAGAATCAAGAACTGGAGTGCCCCGGAGGATTACAATGGCTTTACTCTGAATAATGACATCGCGGTTATCGAATTGGACAGACCGGTGGCGCTTGATGGGCGCGTCAAGACCGCTTGCCTCCCGGAAAATCGTGAGTACGAGCACTAGAGAAATTGAGGTCTGAAATTGAGACACTTTTATTCACTTTTTTGGACGTTTCGGGGCCCAATTCAAGTCGGTTTCTCTTTAGTTTCGAACTTGTGTCTCATTTGGTATTCCAAATCACGTATGAAAAAGTTTAATAGAAAACCGTAGCGAAATTCCCTAGAAAATTCTATTGACATTCTCTAGAAATTCTAGGGAATGCTCGTTAAAATTCTATTTGGTTTTTTTGTGCAGATTCTATTAAATATTTAATAGGCAAAAGTCAATAGATTTTGATTTTTATGTTTGAAGTTTTCTCTTGAGATTTTTTCTGTGAAAATTTTGGGGCACACATTTTCTAAGTTTTTTCTGCAATATTTTATTTTGTTTTGCATTACAGAGTCCAAGTGAAAGAAACTTAGAAAATTCATACCCGAGTGTTCTTGTAGAAAAAGTTCAGAGAGAATATTCATGTAGAAAAATCGAAATCTATTGACTTTTTCGCATGATATATCTCATGAAATCGGCGCAAAAGACAAATAGAATTTTAACGAGAATTCCTTAGAATTCCAATAGGATTTTCTAGCGAATTCGCTAAGCTTTTCTATTGAACTCTTTCATATGTGATACTTCATTCATTTTTTCTCAATGCCCGATCTTGTTGTATAAACAATGAGAACAATGAGCACATGAGAGAAAAAATTTCTTATGGATATCCAAGTATATTTTACAGTTTAATGCAGACCGTACTATAGATTCAACGATTTTCAGTCATCAATTAAAATGTTTGTCAATTAAATTGTGTGTGAAGAATTTGAAAAAAATGAACATTCAGCGGCATTAAAATGACATTTTGCACAAAATTATTATTTTTTTAAACATTCGTTGTTTATAAATAAATAATTGAAATTGTTCAAACTTTCTAATTTTTTTAAAGATTTCATTGTAAAATTTGCAGAAACTTAGAGTTGAATGAGGCTCAAATAAAAGCTCTGATGTTCGACTCCAAAAGTAAAAAAGCATTTCACTGGGGAACAAATTGCGCAAGTACTTGGATATCCTTAAGTTCGGTGACTTGTATTTCAAGACATTATGAGAATCATCCATCAAACGTCTTATTTCAAGACATTAAAATTTCCATCATCACGAAGTGAGTTCATCATCATAATTCCTCCCTCATGTTCTTAATTTTTCTTCCATTTAATGGTTAGGCGCAATTGACTACACGGGATCTCTAGCCACCACCATCGGCTGGGGCAGGACCCTTCAAGACGGCGACACCAGCCAATACCTCCGCAAGGTTCAAGTTCCTGTTCTCTCCGACGAGGAGTGCGCCGAGTCTAGTTACCCCGAATCTCGACTCACTGAAAACATGTTTTGCGCCGGATATCTCGAAGGAGAACGCGACTCCTGTGGGGTAAGTATAGTCGACCAACAAATCAAATCATTAAGCACAAAAAACCCCAGAGAACTCTTTCTCCTAATAAATTCATCGATTCCCTCCCTCTTCACGTCTAAAATCATTCATAATTAATTAAATTCGACACAGGGTGACAGTGGCGGTCCTCTATTAGCCCAAGCTCCCGGTGGTCATTTAGAAATCATCGGTAAGTGGCAGCCTAGCCCATCAATTCCACAGTGAAACAGATTAAATTGATTTCGCCTATCGCTCAGCTTTCACAAAATATCTCAGAACCTACGGCAGATAGCCAAATTTTCCTCATAACTTTTTTTATAGAGCGGATTAAGCTCTACAAAAAAGATTATTACAAAAATTTCTCTATCCCCCTTAGATTCGGAGATATTCCTCGAAAACTCAGCAAAGAAAAAATCGTTTCGATATTAAATTGTCATTCCACTCACAATTTCGTTGTGAACTCACAGGACTTACGTCTTTCGGCCACGGGTGCGCCCAACCGAGGTACCCGGGTGTCTACACGAAGCTGACGAACTATCTCGGCTGGCTGAGAGACCAACTGGAAGGTGAATGCATCTGTCCATCCCCGGGTCAACTATAACCCGATCCCCTAGGACTCCCTATTAACGACAATCTAGTCTCATTTTAAATAAGTTTAGTCTACCTGAGGACGAATGGAGATTCTGTGATTACTGTGGTTAATTGATAGTTAAAAATGTTACCAATAAACCTATTCAACAATTCAATCGATCGTCTCATCGTAAATCTCTTCGAGAATGAATGAAGGATGGGATCGAGGCGTCACGTGAGCCTTCATGATGCACATTAATGAGTGATGATAATCGGGTCAGTCGACAGAAAACGTTTTGCTTTCGACGAACGAATGTAGGTTAGTGAAACCATCGAACCGTTACGCACAATACCTCGGTTATACCGATACCAACGGAAATATCAGCGCTCGAAGGCATTCGTTCCAGCAAAAAGGAGACTAAGTTGACAAAAATTTATCTAATGATGTAACAACACCTCTCCTCCACGGTTTCGTACAGTTATTCCGAGAAACTTGTGACAAATGTTAACTAATAACTCGCTATAGCAATTGTTGCAAAGAAAGACTGAAAACAAATCGAGTGTCTCAATTCCTCAGGCACTTGTTCCTCGCGAATTCTTATTTTTGGAGAGAGAAATCCCCCACCCACTATTACGAAATCGAGTTTCGAATTGGTTTCTCAAGGTGGGGAATATACCTGTAACAGGATAAGTAGGTCTACACCTCAGTCTGTTGTTCGAATAGTTAAAATCCATATTCTTCGATAGACTGCTGTCGGTTTACGGTATCTAACCGCGTTAGAAAGTGATTCTTCTCCTCACTTTGCCATATCCGAATGTTAATGATATTTAATTAATGCAGAGTCACTGGTAAGTGGCTGAAAGGGAGACGAGCTGGGGCTGGCATTCAGCTGGAGAAAGAACTTTCCTCGGGAGTGCGAGTACACAGACGTCTGCTCACTTCAATCATTAGTATCGCGCGGGTTTATGAGACCAGTGAAAGCCTGCGGAGTTCCTTCTGTCGATGTCACCGGGTCTTTTGCACGGAAAGTAACAAAAGAAAGAGGTTTTATATCTTGGTAACGTTTGCCATGGAGTTATGAAGTGCGCGTTCTTGTCCTGCCGCATTGGGAGATGATGCGCGAACTACGAGGCAGACTGCTGACTCAGGACGAGACAGCTTTGCGACAGTGAGAGGCTTCGGTCGTTTAGGAATTTAAGTGCTGTGCGATAATTAGGGTGATGAAGGGGTCTTCTGTTCTTGTTCTGGTCGCTTGCTGTCTGCAAGCAAGTTTCGTTCGTACGTATCGGTTGGAGAGTGCGAGGGACACCCGGATTTTTAATGTAAGTCTTGCGAATTTGGGATGCATGGTTTTCAGGAGTTGGGGGTCAAATTACACTGATAGAAAGGATTAGTTATTGTTAACGCATGGATTTGGTTGGAGACGAGGGTCTATTCGGTCTCACCAAATGTTCATTCGTTAATAACAAATGCACATTTGAGCAGACCTAATGCATATTCATTTGGTCATATTCAATTCTACCATTCGTTGATAGTTAACGAATCTCGTTTGGAATAAATGAATCAGTCTATCAGTGTAAACTGTTTGAGTTTTGTGATGACTCCTTGTTTCTGACATTAAGACACTTTCGTTTCCTTTATTAAGACGTTCGTGTGTCCAAATTCAAGTCGCTAGTGTCTCAAAGCAAGAGATTGAGACATGCATTCTAAAGATTTTAGGTGTCTTACTCGAGGATCTTTTGTTTCAAATTCATGTCTCATTTTTTATTGCAAATATGGATGAGTCACCAAAAACGTCTCATGATTCCATGTCTTAATTGGGTTAACGCCTTGTCGTAGTGGCTTTTACAGAACTCTCATGACAATTCTGCAGCGCTCAACCTCCATTGATTACGTATCCACAATGTCTAGTGTGAAAGACTCAATGTCAAGATCATAGTAAACTGTCTTGTTGCATACGTAACACTCATGATGTACTGATAGCAGCTGATGGAGGTCTGTTAGACCTTGACACTCGCGGCACAGCAGCACTTTCACCCAGCTGATGCCTCCAGACCTCATTTTTACCTTGAGAATCGCCAGTTCAAGTCTCTCCACAATTTCTTGAATCTTTCAGACCCCGAGGAACCGCTCCAGCAGATTCCTCTTCGACGAGATATTCGGCATCGACATCACCGGAGGCGCTACCAGCGACAGCGACGAACAGAGAATCCGGAATTGTAGCTGTGGTATGACGGCACTTGATCGTCCTCAAGTGATCAGACTTTCATGGTCATTATGGTTTTTAGAATGCGGTGTGTATCATCAGGAGAATCGCATTGTGGGTGGTCAAGCGTCAGCGCCGCATCGATACCCTTGGGTGGCGCGTTTGGTGTATGAAGGACGATTTCACTGCGGCGGAAGCCTCTTGACTAATGATTATGTTCTCACCGCTGCTCATTGTGTTCGAAGGTATTCCCTATTCATCTAGAGCTTAACATTGAAATTAAGGCGCTCGTGTCCCATTTTGCAAGATGTTTGTGGCGCAAGTTTGAGTCATTTTTGGGGTCTCAAATTAAGACATTAAGACGGCGTAGGTATGTCTCATTTGTATTTACTTTTATATATATACTCTTTTCTTCGATTCAATGAGGGAATTCAAACCCAGGCAAACCACAATAGTATGAGGCATTTCCAAATGCCAGCGATCTTCGCGAGAAATCGCGAAGTTCACACTTTGCGTTAAATCACGATGTTAACATCATTGTGGGTAGTCGTAGTTAAGTTGAAATTGATGGTTTTTTTTTGCCTCTCTCTTCAGATGCTATAAAAACCGTCGCTGAACGTAGCTTGATTGGTCATATCCAACCGAGAATTTTTAACAATAAAATTGTCATGAGTTTCATCAACGATATTTTCTGCCCCGTCTGTTTTTACCCGGATAGCAACAATCTGGCACATTTATTTGGCAAGTCATTGTCAAAATATTTAAGTTAGTTGTCACCAGTGACTGTAATTCATTTCTTGGACCTCCTGAGCCCCAATACGAAGAAAGAAGCTTTCGCTCTATAATTATGTAACTCGCATCAGCGATCGGCTAAATCGAATTTATCTTTCCTCTGACCCTTTCTTATCTTTCCTCCATGTATATATATACGTTCCGCATACAGTCTATCAATCTGGCTGTCCACCGACTTTTCTTTTTGTTATCCGATCATTAACTTCATATTCTGTTCAATTTTCATCAAATTCCGTGATACCGATGAACCATTTTTGTAATCTAGCCACAGTGCTTTAGATTGTTGTATAGTTTCGTATTTTTTTCAACTATTCACTGCCTTTGAGGCCCATCTCTGTAATCATTTATATACATACTAGGGGGTTGCGTCCCCTGCTCGCTTCGCCCGCTCCCTCCCAATCTTCTTGGGCATATTTAGGTGTTCGTATATAGAAAAAAATTCTTAGAATCATTCACCTCTTTTGAAAAATTGTAATTTTAATTATTTACCAAAGGCACCAACCAACGCCGTTTGTCGTGAGATTCGATCATTCATTTTTCCATTTATTTACCTAGAATAGTTTGAGGTATACTCTATAATTTTTTGAAGATTTGACCTGAAGAATTCATTCTCAATAGCATCATCAGACTCACAGATAAGGATCAGAATAAGGGGCGTCTCCTGACTATTTAAACCTCCTTATTTTTTTATTAGATTAATAATAAATCTGATTACATTGATTCTTCAAGACTGCAGCGATCAAAAATTAGAATAATCCTCGGCGACCACGACCAGCTGATCAACACGGAGGCTGTGGCCGTGATGCGAGCTGTCAGTGCAATAATTCGTCACCGAAATTTCGACATGAACTCTTACAATCACGACGTGGCTCTCCTGAAGCTCCGCAAGCCCGTCAGATTCTCGAAAACGATAAAACCGATCTGTCTGCCGGACGCTTCAGTGGATCCCGCTGGTAAAGAGGGCATTGTCGTTGGGTGGGGTCGCACAATGGAGGGTGGAATGTTGGCCGGCGAGGTGCACGAGGTCAGGGTGCCTATTCTCACGATTGAGCAATGCAAGAGGATGAAGTACAAAGCTAGTCGGATTACAGACAACATGATTTGCGCGGGAAAAGGGAGGATGGACTCTTGCCAAGGAGACAGTGGAGGTCCTCTGCTCGTGCAGGAGGGCGACAAGTTCGAGATTGTGGGTGAGTGCACGTCCTGTTTAGGGCTGCCCACGAGACCCAGACGAGACTTCACTTTGAAGAGATTCTCTCGTTCTAAAAAAACATGGAAATTTTTGGGACTATCTCAATCTCAAAAGGCACAGTATCGTCTTCTTTGGTCATGACTTCGAAATAATTTGTCTCGTCACAGTCTCCGACACGTAAAAAATAGCAAAAAGGAACACGTAAAAAATAGCCAAAGGAGAAAACGAGACGAGATAAATTCTCTTGAACCCATGATCAGAGGAAATGATACTATGCGTTTTGAGACTGAGATAGTCCCAAAAATTTCCATGTTTTTTTACAGCGAGAGGATCTCTTCCAAGTGAAGTCTCGTCTGGGTCTCGTGGACAGCCCTAGTCCTATAGGGAACTTGCATGAAGCTCAATTCTTTCTAATTCCCCTATTCACACATTCCTCGTAACATATCGATAGCTAAACGGCGAAAATGATAGAGAAATATTGCCTAGAATGTCTTATAATAATTAATTGAAAATCAGTCGTTTTCGAGACCAATTTTTCGGTTATGACGTCATGAAGACGGTCAGGTAACGCTTCATTGGTCAAAAAAGAAGAGAGTGGGGAGTTATCGTCCTCCATTGGCCGAGACGCACCTCAAGATAGAGTTAGGTCGGCTCGAGCCATTCTGTGAGTGATCCGGCGCTCGACCCTCTGTGTGACGTCATTAGTGATTTTAAAGCGTCGGAAATCTTCAACTTTTAACAATTGATTATTAATTTATGAGCGATATTTCAAACGTTTGTGACTGAAAAATCAATTATTCAGGGCCCAAACTTGAGATTGGAAAATTGAAAAAAATCATGCAAGTTCCCTATTGAGTAATAATATTAAAATTATCGGAAATTTATCAGTTCGTGATTGAATTGACGAATTTCTTGATTTCAGGGATTGTGTCGTGGGGGGTTGGCTGTGGGAGGCCAGGATACCCCGGGGTTTACACGAGGGTGACGAGGTATCTGAACTGGATCAACAACAACATGCAAGACACCTGTTTCTGTAACAAATGAACCATGACGTCGAACCTGACAGTTGTATATAGGATAGAAATAAATGATGTACAGAAAAACTGAGAATAACTCATTCCACATAACTCTTGAGTTGAATAGGGCGCGAGGTGTCAACAGCATTGGCTGATGACGTGACCCGATAACAGTCGGACGCCAGAGGAATAATAACGCTAACGGTTCTGTGACACCAACGGTGTTAAGACCGATGGCGGGTGCACAATGACGTTTCACTGTCGATGATGGCTAGGGAAAGTGGCCCTCTACTGCCGTCCTATTGTTCGGATTTAGACCGTGCCTAAAAGAGAACTGACTCTCGTAATCTTCCAAATGTTTCCATTATTCGAAAGACTGGGATGGGTCAGAATTTATTGGGAAATAATATGGGGAAGGCAATTTGCGATGAACAAATAATTGCAGCAGTGAACAGCAGTGAACTTTTATAGGAATGGAAGAGAAGAAATCTGAAACGTTCAGTGAATTTTCAGGTTTATCACCGAACAAAGTACGAAATTGTCACGTAATTTTTCCCGAAGAAGTAAAATCTTCCAGAAACTTCCCGACTTATGTCGCCAAAATCAAAAATTCTTGAACGTTCAACAATGTTTATGAAACTGGTAAGTTATTTCTACGTTCCATTCCATAAAATTTCTCAATCGTTCCAACTCACACTTTTTACTGAATTTTACTTCGCTCGCGGATTACGTTTCGAAACGTAATTTTTACAATTTTTTTTGGTAATTTTTATTGAACTTTTCTCTCCGTGAGCCTGAGGGAGCTTAAGTTACAAATGAAATGTCTCTAATTGAGGAATGGTGCAGGAGAGCAAGAGAAACAAGACGAAACAAATGAAACGAATCATTTCTTACAATAATTAATTTTGTCGATAAAACACGAGAGGACAAAACGAGAGAACTGCGACTCTCGTCTCGTTTCGTCCTGTAGTATTATTGTTTTCTCCAATATCGGAGATCTTGTTTACCTCATAATAATGGCGGAGCTTAACGATATCACCGACTATTATTATTTCATGAATATTGAGAATATTTCTCGAATATCCAGCGTTTGTCGACCCCAAGGCTGAACCGGTCCACGGGCGTCGCATGTTAGATTAATGCTCCTTACATTCTCGTGTTACGGTACCGCGATATTTTCCACTCCTCTTTCCCCGTTCAATCCTGTTCCGCGAAGCCTTCGCACATGGGATCCAACAGTCGCTGTGACTTTTAAAATTGCGTCTTAAAATAAACCAAACGAGCGGGTGGGGAAAACCATAGAAACGAGTGAAAAACGCGCGAGTTGGCCTTGCGGTCAGTGACAGGATTTGACCGTGAACGTGAACTTAAAATGTTCAAATGGTGTCCGAGGCGCCGAGTCGTCGTCCGGCCTTACCTCACCCCCTTCCCCCCGGATGGCTTTACTCCTTCTCTTTCTTCTTCTTTGCTAGTCTCATCAGGTGACCGGTCAATCGCACCAAAGACATCCAGAGCTCGTCAACACGGTTCAGGGACATGAACGTTGGCAACTCTTGACGTTGAATTCCTCGATATTAACGATTTATGTTGGTTGAACGAGCAGTTACAATGAAGTGTCGCGTGATTTTTAATTTTCCGATAGAGCAACTTGCTGTAATTATTTTATTTGTAACTGTAACTGTGGCAGCGGGCCATAAGATCGAAGTGAGTAATTCAATCGTTTGTGAGAATGCGATGCATTTTAATGGATTCTGAATCGTCTTTTGTACTTAGGAGAAGAGATTGGGAGGTGATCTAGTGAAAAACTTCTTTGGCTTGTTCGGGAACAAGCCGCCGAATTCGGAGACGCCACCGGGGCCCTGTTACTGCAGTGAGTATTAAGAGATTTAACCAAAACGTCACATTAAGAGGTGGAAATGTCGTGAATTAATTAATTCGAATGGATTTAAAGGCTGCGGAGTTAGAAACGAAGAGAGTAGGATCGTAGGTGGTCAGACAACAGCAGTGAACGAGTACCCCTGGATGGTCAGACTATCATATCTCCACAAATTCTACTGCGGCGGATCCCTGATCAACGATCGTTACGTCCTGACAGCCGCCCACTGCGTCAAAGGGTACACTGAGAGAAATATCGTCATAATATCACAAAACTAATTTCTTGCGCCAAATGTCTCATCTCTTGAGGATAAATTTCTTGGGATAAGAATTCCGGATAATGGCTCAGACAATGTCAGATTTCGGTGAAGCGTTCATGACTTGAACATGAACATTTCATGATAAAGTGAGAATTTCTTGCCACGAGAAATCGGTTTTTTTGTGTCAGAAGATGAGAAAATGCCTAAAAATATTAAAAGCTTCGATTCAGTGAATCATGAATCAGACTTTTATATTAAATGAATAGAGAGTTTATGCAGTGGAAAACCTCCAGATATTGAAAAAATACAACCGTCGTTTACGCTCAATCGCTTTGAGTTCAAGGGGAAACAATATATTCTTTTCCTTCTGTCAAACTATTCTTGTCTTTGGAGGAATATTATCTCATTGCGAAAAAAGACATCACCGTTTCATTCAGTAACTTCCTCCTTAGCCCGAAGGACACCGATTTCTTGTCTGAAACCTACCATAAATTGATCAAATATGTACGCGATGTTTTTCGCTCAAGAAATGATTTTTGTGATATTAGGTCGATTTTTCTCTCAGTGTAAATACCTCACACCTCCGAAGGAAAGCCTCGAAATTCTATGATCGTTATCTCCAGAATTATTTTCAGATTGATGTGGTTTATGATTAAGGTGACATTCGGCGAGCACGATCGGTGCGACGAGAAGATTCAACCCGAGTCCCGATTCGTCGTTCGCGCGATAACTGGTGATTTCAATTTCCTGGATTACGACAATGACATCGCCCTGCTGAGGCTGAATGATCGGGTCCCACTGAGCAATTCCATCAGACCCATCTGCCTTCCGTCTGTCCGCGGTAAGATGATCACGTGATTGTTGAAGAATTTTTAAAAAATAGTTTCGCAAACCAAGGCGACCTCGTTGCGACCCGAGTTATCACAATTTTATTACGAGACGTATTACAGAAGCTGATAAATTCGCACATACGGGTACCCCACACCGTCTGCTCCTCTCGGCGAAAGGACATTAAAAATCAGGGCATTCCCTCTTTTCCTTACTCATTATCCGAAGTCAGATGATACGTTTTCCATATCGAAATCGTAAATCATCGCTGACAGACTGCGTAATTGTGACTGTAACTCATTCTGCGCTTCGAGTCATTTCTCTCGCTGAATTTTTCCGTTACGTCATTAACGACGAACTTTCACTCGTCGTAAAATATTCTACGGAGTGCAATAGGGGTTCGTGGATTATTTGTGTTTTTCCTTTCAGAGGAGACATATGAAGGGGTCAAAGCCATCGCCGCTGGCTGGGGAACTCTTAAAGAGGATGGCAAGGTGTCGTGTGCCCTTCAAGGAGTTGAGGTCCCAGTGATGGCTCAGGCGGCTTGTCGGAACACTAGTTACAAGCCTAGTATGATTTCTGATAATATGCTGTGTGCGGGGTATCCTGATGGCAAGAAGGACTCCTGTCAGGTAAATGCAGCAGATAAAGGGACATTAAGACTCCTTTTGTCCTCTTGCATTTGGTTCAGTTATGATGTCTGATTGGAAGACAATGAATGCCACCACAAAAGTCTTATGATTCTGATGGAAAAATGTAATAACCCCCGGGTAACTCTAGTCTTCAGGATGGTTCTCTCAATAATCCCAACTGGATCAAATAAATTCAACGATTTATCACTGTTAAAAAATTACTCTTGAAATTTCAAGTGAAAAAGCTTGAAATTTTCAACAACTACAAAGTTATATGAAATGTCTCCATATTTCTTCATTGGCGAATCAGTTAATTTCTTGAATATTCAAGTAACTCTCGATTTTCAGGTCCATGCGGCACTGAAAAACCATGAAAATTTTGAAAATCCAAGCAACAATTTTTCTAAATTCTCAATCTATTGAAAATTGAATTGTATGTGATGTTTAATTTTCACGATGAGTTAGGAAATTCAAGCGTTCATTGAAAAATCAATGCTTGTTTAACATGAAAAACGCAATTTTCTTGAATTTTCAAGATGAATGAGAGATTTAGTGAGCGCTTTCATTTTGAATTGACTTCAACCTCACAACATTGAAATTTCAGATGACACTATGACTGAAATTTCAAGAAATTTCTAACAGTGCAAAATACAACTCTATAGTCTTGACGATCTCTCACACTTCGCACTCGATTCACTCCTCTCACCCTCTAGCCTCTCCTCTCACTCGTCCAAATCTATCTTACTCTCTTTCTGAATCATGCACTCTCACGTATATGCTTATGACTCTATCAATTCCATGTTTTAACGGGGTCGATACCACCTTATGAAATCAAAGTCTTCTTGAAGAAATTGAATAGAAATGTTCTCAAACATATTGATTCCTTCTTGAACTCCTCATGATTGAATATTTGAATAAGTGATGTAAATCGTTAGAAATAAGAACCTGGAGAATAATTTCGTGAACACATTTATATTTTAGTCATTTTTTTTAGCAGAATAAACCATATGGTTTGAATGCTTAAATAAAAAAAATTAAAAATGGGGTTGATACCTCGTCGCTGTCAAGTGTCTTGAACTGCGACCGAAAAAAGATCTTAAATTTGGTCCCAAAGTAAGACCTTTTGAAGACACTAGTTTTTATAATATCCTTTACACTTTCAACTTGAGAATTTGTTCTGATATTCTTCAGGGAGATAGCGGTGGACCTCTGATAGCCGAGAGGGACGACAAGAAATACGAGGTGATAGGGATCATTTCCTGGGGAAATGGCTGCGCGAGACCGGGCTACCCTGGTGTCTACGCTCGTCTCACTCGCTATTTAGATTGGGTCCTTGCGAACTCCAAGGATGGCTGCTTCTGTGAGACGTAGGGGCTTCGGTGGTGCCACTGGCGCTCGTCGCCACGACATTGAGATTTTTTAACATGTAATCCAGTATATTTATTGCCATGTAATGTTTTGAATAAATGAATCAACGTGATCATTCGTGATGATTGTAGTCATTCCTTAGACACAGAACGACGATTAGGACCTGTTTTTGGAGTTATTGGAGGACGAGAGAAGGACTGAAGGTTGAAGGTAGAATAAGGTGTGACATGCATGGAACCCTTGAGGGAATCATTAATAAAGAATATTTTGTCTGACTGAATTTCAATCTTCCATTCCCATCATTTTCTAGATCAAATAATCTAGAAGATAATCATCATCTATTCGTCATCACTTTTGCTGAAACTCTCCAAATTTTCCAAACTTTTGAATACTGATAGAAAGGATTAGTTTTTGTTAACGAATGGATTTAGTTGGGGACGAGGGTCTATTTGGTCTCACCAAATGTTCATTCATTAATAGTTAATAAATGCATATTTGAGGAGGCTTGTTTGAATCGATTTTCTCCTTTCAAGTGAATCATTCGTTAACTATTAACGAATATTTATTTGGTTATATTCAACTCTAACGAATTTCGTTTAGAATAAATGAATCAGTCTATCAGTGCAAATTTCCTGCCGAAAGTTATCGATATTTTGACCAATCGAAGCACATTAGTCCCCAGGAGGTGATGATGAAGATCAATGTGCTTTGGCCCCCAAAAATATTAATAACTTTGAACAGAAAATTTGTTTGAAATTTTCGAGGAAACGGTTGCCTTCTATTTTCCTTAACGGAAGCATCTTGGCCCATGACCGCATGGAGGGCTTCCAAAAGAATTAAAACGATGATTTCCTCGGTGCACACACGTTTGAAGGGAGAATAAGGTATGCATGTCACCCTTGAGGGAATCAGTAATAAAAAATATCCCATCTGACTGAATTTTGATCTTCCATTCTCATAATTCAACTAGATCAAATAATCTAGAAGGTAATCATCATCTATTCGTCATCACTTTTGCTGGAAAAGGCTCCTGCGTCGCGCATTATGAAGCAAAAGGTCTGAATTGAGGGGTCACGAAATGCTGCGAATTTTCCAAATTTTTGGAACAAATTTCCTGCCGAAAGTCATCGGTATTTTGACGAATCGAAGCACATTAACCTCCAGGAGATGATGATGAAGATCAATGTGCTTCGGCTTCGAAAAATATTAATAACTTTGATGAGGAAATTTTTTGAAATTTTCGAGGAAACGGTGGCCTTCTGTTACCCCTTAACAGAACCATCTTGGTCCACGACCGCATGGAAAGCTTCCAAAAGAAATAAAACGATGACTTCCTCGGTACCCGCGGGTTTATGTTGTAATACAGCTGTAAGTACCTTTGAGATGCGGGTAGTACCGCTATGTAGCATCGAGCTCGGGACTAACTCAGCAGTTGTTGTTTGGCTCACCGAGGGACAAGTCATGAATCTGCAAGAGTACGTTAAGTACCTCATCTGCGTGGTGGCTTTGATTTTTGGTGGAAGTCAACATGGATCTGCAGGGGTTCTGGTGAGTGTTCGTGAAGTTGTTGGATCAATCCTGCATGATATCATCAATTTGCGGTGATTTGAGCAGGCGGAGGGGTCGAGGGTCGGCAGAGGGGTCTTCGATCTGCTGTTCGGGAGGTTCAGAACCTGCGGAGGGTGCCGTAAGCATTTGAATTAATCTGTAGCTTGGTGATGAGGGCTTTATGAGGGTTTATGACGTTCACAGTGTGTGGGAGATCGAACCGCGGAGGGGCGAGGTTCCTAGGGGGCGAGAAGACAGCTTCTCATGAGTTTCCGTGGCTTGCTGATGTCCACGTGAAGTCGGCGACTCAATTCAGTGGAGTTCTCATCAATGATCGATACGTGCTGACTGCAGCTAGTCAACTGATTGGGTAGGTATCAATTTCATGAATAAGTCTTACGATTCCACATATTCACCGAAGAAAAGTATACTTGAATTGAGTATAACTTATACCAGAATCAAGTATATGCATCAACCTGATTGCAGAATAAAGTATACTTGATTCAAGTATATTTTATACTCGAATGGGGGATGAGTGTTTCAATTCGAGGTTGATTATTTCGTATCAACCCGGGTTGTACCAAGCGCTCTCAAGTGTCATATAAGGGTCAGACACTAAGTGTGAGGATATAAGGGTCAAAAAGTGGAGGTTAAAAAATGAGGGTCGGAATATTAGAGTCAAAAACTGAGGGCCTGAATATAAAGGTGCAGGAGTGAGGGTCAGAATGTTAGGGCTAAAAAAAGAGGGTCAGAATATTAGCATCAAAAAATTAGGGTCTGAATATGAAAGTAAAAAAAGTGAGTGTCACGCAATGAGGGCCATATAAGGGCTAAAAACGGTGACCAAGCATAATATATGACTTATATTTAGACCCTCATTGCCCCATACCCACTTTTTTACTTCTATATTCTGACCCTCATTTTTTAACCACCACTTTTTGACCCTGATATTCCACTTAAGATAAGGCCTGATACAAAAAAATCATCTTCGAATTGAAATACCCATCCCCCAATTGAATATAAAATATACTTGAATCAAGTATACTTTATACTCAATTCAGGTGTATTTTTTCCGTGTTATGCTGCAAGATTTATAACCCTCTAGTTTTCTTATCTTGCATTAAGACGCCTCAAGCCTCCTCATCTCTCCACTTTCCACAGATCAACAAGTCCTGAAGTCAAGATATCCCTCGGGGGCTACGACCGCTGTCACCTGGATATCTCCTCCATGAACATCTCCGTCGACAGCATCGTCCTGTACCCCGAATTCACACCTGCCAACCACGCCCATGATCTCGCTCTGATTCGGCTGAGTCGCCCCATCAAATTCGAGAAGCGAGTGTCCCCCGTTTGCCTCCCTAATCCTGGCTCGACTTATCTGGGACAGGTGGGAACGCTCCTGGGGTGGACGAGGACTGAGGAGAACGGGAAATCCTGTCTCCCCAGGAAACTGGGGCTCCCCATCCTCGGCGAGAGCGAATGCCTGAACTCCGGAGTGGAATCCACCAACTATCAAGATGACTCGGGGTGCATCGGCGTCGTCGGGGGAAAGTCCATCTTGTGTGATGTAATGTCTCAAGATAATTTCCGATGAATTGAGCTGATGACGTGATTTTTTTTCAGAATGACGTTGGGACGGCTGTCATGTATCGCAGTTACGCAGGAATTTACGACCTTATCGGTGAATATTCCTGACAAAATGACTGTATAATCATTTGCCCCAGTTTTCCCCTATTTCTATCGTAATATTCTTCTTCAAGGGATCCTCTCGGACAATAATGTTTGCGATGACGAGTCAAAACTCGCCGGAACGTACACCAGAGTGGGCCCTCACCTAGACTGGATTCTACAGATAACCAAAGACGCTTGCTACTGTACCAAGTGATTGCTCATATCGAAATATCACATCGATTGTCAAGCGACGTTATTTCTATTTGTATCGTTATTTATGAGGCTTATGCTCTCGGAGGGTGAAATAAAAATTTAGTGCACCATTAAATAGAAATAGTTGACTACATATTTATCGCTTGAGTAAAAATGCCGAATAGGCCGGATGTATTAAGATACTCGGGGCACTATGATAAGCGCAATAAACGTGTTTATTGTATAATGGGGTTTTCCGGAGATTGCGAAGACAGATAGGAGGGTGATCTAGATTTAGTTTCGTTTCAAAATCCGTTGGATTGAGGCACTGTTCGGGACTAGTGATGATATCGTTAATGATTATTCAATTTTTCGTCGTGAGAGTTGTTATTGGACAGTATGATGTGTCTTACGGATCGCCGGCATATAAACACTGCGGTTAGTTATGATTTGAGATTTAAAATATAGCTTCTGCATTATGAAATTGAAATTACTAACGAAGCGATAAAACGTTTCAAGCCCGAATCTAAGACAGATACCGAAATTTTTGTAATAATCTTTTTTATATCTCTCAATTTCATCTAGAAAAAAGGCATAAGATAAATTTCGCTATCTGCCTTAGATTCCGAGAGATTCATTGAAACTTGACCAATAGTCAAAATCAACTTTTACGTTTTACTACTTCGCTACTAAAATTGTGGTAATATGACCTCCATGTAGGGGTCATGCAGATGTTGTATCATAGGGTCATGTGAGAGTCATATGAAGGTCGGGTAAGGGCCTCGTCAGGGTCTTATAAGGGTCTTATAAAGTTCATCTGGAAGTGATGTAAGGACCTCATCACGATCTTATAAGAGTCGTATGAAGCTCATGTAAGGGCCTCATCAGGCTCTTATATAGATCATATAGAAGGCCTGATAAGGATCATATGGAGTTCATAAGGGTTTTGTGGCCCATGAAGGTCTTATGGGGGCCATACGGTGATCATACGAAAGTCATCAATTACATCGTTTTCCATACAGTATGTGGCAAAAAAAATCCACCCCTCGTTGGTGATATCCGCATAGTAGGTGGATACACCGTCAAAGAAAGTGAGTACCCCTGGATGGCAATGATAACAGGAAACGGCTCACTATTGTCCGGCGGTTCCCTGATAAACGACCGCTATGTAGTCACTGCTGCACATTTGCACAGCTTCGGGTAAAACAAACTTCTAGATGATCGAGTCGTTCGCCTCATGGATTTCTCACTAGAGCCATTAAATTTGAAAATCCAGTTTCAGAATCAACGAGCTGAAAGTTGTCGTAGGCGAGCACGACCGGTGCCGCTCACACAATCGCACTGTAATTTTCTCGGTCGAGAGGATGATCAAGCACCTGGAGTACAACGCTGACAATAATTACGCTGATATAATGCTGATGAGGTTGAATATGAGAGTGACGTTTAATGAATTTGTTCGTCCCATTTGTCTACCACCTTTCGAGCCATTTGTCAGGACTAGGAAGTTGTACCGCGGGAAAAGTGTAACGGCCGTGGGCTGGGGATTGGCGGACACGGGCGAGGAGGTTTGCCTTCCGCGAGAGGTGAAATTGGAAATTTTTAGAGATGAGGATTGCGATGTGAAGGTTGAGACTCTTATTTGCGCGGGTACTTACGGGAATGGGAAGGATTCCTGCGCTGGGGACAGTGGAGGACCTCTGCAGATTGTTAACAAACGGGATAAATATGAATTGTTGGGTATGAACAGAATTTTCCGGTGCGGAAGTGGTGGATTTTAAACTGAAAAATTCGTTGAATTTCATCTTTCTATACAACTTTTTCTATAAGAATTCCCCGATATGAATTTTCACTCTATTTTCCGTCTCTATTTTTCATAAATAAATAATAAAATATAAATAAAATGAATAATAAGTAATAAAAAAATCTGTAGAATATATTTTAATAGAATAAGTTGTATGGAAAAATCGAATTTTTTTTAAATAAGAAATTTTTTCTGTCTTTGAAATTAACATGCCAAAAAGCGGTCACCACTTCAGCTCCATTTTTCTCTCCTTCAGGAATAGTTTCATCAGGAGTTGGCTGTGGTACAGGAACCCCGGGATACTATACAGATGTCCCCAGGATGGTCCCCTGGATAATGAAAATGACCACACGTGACTCTATGTACTGCTGGCGTTAGAATCCGAAAGTCTGCCAACTAGCTTCCCCCAGGCTGAAACCCGAAAGTATTCCTCGTAATGGACCAGTGCCCGGAATATCCATCTTACGATATACTTCTGGGTCACGTTATAAACGAAGAGAGGATATACTTCTGGGGTCGTTATACACGAAGAGAGGGTGCTTCACTTTCGGGGGAATAAATACTTAAATACTTTACGGGTCCGCAGAGACCAATTTCAGGGGTGAATATCCTTTGAGACGCTCAATATATATGACTGGAACGTCCTGTAGGCATATGGAATCTCTTCCTTATTCTATTCTTCATAATTTGTAGAAATACACACGATTTAATAGAAACAACTAGCGAATTTGATAAAAGATTCTATTGAATTTTAAGGAAATTCTGTTAGTTTTTCGTCTATTCTATTGAAGAAATCCGCAGCTTCACTGCGCATTTTTCTAAAAAAAATGTCCAGCTAATAAAAAATATTATAGAACAACTTGTTTCAACATGAATTTTTCAATTTTTTCCCCCTCAATTTTTCTTCTTTCATTTAAAAAATCAAACAAAAAAACTCTGAAAATTGTTATTAGAGTCTGGTGTGCTTAAACTCATTCATGATTATAGGTTTTTTAATTATAAAGGGATCATCATCCCTCATGCATACTGAAACGATGGAATTCAATAAATATTTGATATTCCGATAAATTATTCTGATCAAAGACGCTGTGAAAATATAAAGAATAAACGAATTATTCAAACTCAATTTCATCGAACGATGCTTTTGTCCCGAATAAAGAGGTCTGGAATCGTTAAAATGTCAAGGCGATAAATTCAAGAACAAAAGGTAGAAAGGGGATATCAACTTGCAGCAACTGTGGATTGCCATCAGTGCAACAGTGCAGTTGAACGTCGCTCGGACTAATCATTATGAAGCTTCAGATTTTTGTCGTGGGGCTCTTGCTCCTGAACGTTAGTTGAAAGTATCTTCTAGTTAAGGATATCCAAATACTCAAGTTACATTTTAACAAAAATTACTACATTTTTTCGGAATTCAATGGATTTCTCGTTAAATTCATAATATCAAAAAAAAATTTTAATTAGGAAAATCATTTTTGGGGTGAAAAATTAATTGCTTACTGCGATCTTTGAAAATTGGAAATTTTCGGTCTCTTCTGAATTTTTAAAATATTTTCTAACAGTTAAGAATGGAGAATGAAATTCAAGCGTTCAATATTTACATTATAAATTCTCTGCAAAATTTCTTGTGAAGTGAGATTTAAATGCAACCCCTGATATTCATCTACAAATATTTAAAAAAATAATCGAAGTGCTAGCATATCCTTAATCTTTCATTTTAGGTACGGAAAAAAATGTAATAGAAACATTTAGCGCTTTCATCGAAAAATTCGATTAGAGTTCTGTGAAAATTATACTTGAAAATCTATTTATTTTTTCCACAATTTCTTTTGCAAATTATGCAGCTATGTCACGCGTCTTCCAATAAATATTATAGATATTATTTTGTCAAGATTTGTTCTATAAAAATTATTGAGCATTAATTTCCCCATTTTTTTGCATTTTGTAATGACCAAAAATTTACAATGGAAAGGACTTGAAAAAATTTCAAAAGAATAATTGATACAGAAATTAAAATTTAAAAAATCCAATTCGAAAAATCAAAGTCAATTTCCACAAGCAATCGTCGAAAAAAAAAGAATTTCTAATCAAAATTCAGTAGACCTTCTCGGAGAGATGGCTAGCGTTTCTCTATTTAATTTTTTAACATCTAATATTCTCTCTAATATTCCTGGAATAATTCATTGCAGGTAGGATTCTGCAAAGAAAAACACAGCCACCCCCGAGTCGATCCCAACTGTGGTACGAATATCCCTAAATCCCATTCTTTCCCGCAATAAAAAAAATTATATTCTCCCCCAGAATGCGGAAGAACCGGGGACGAGATAGCCACACGAATAGTCGGAGGAACCGAGGTAGTTCCTCACTCGCTGCCATGGGTGGTGGCGATCTTCCATAGGGGGTCGTTACACTGTGGTGGTGCCTTGATCAACAATCGCTACGTCTTGACTGCCGGACACTGTGTCAAATGGTAGGATCTAGACGAAATTATTCCTCCGCATCATTTTTATTGTTACTCAATACGTGAAATCTAGCACTTTCTCTAAAAGATTTTTTTGGCTTTACTATGACAAATAGATAAAAATAGAATAGAAAAAACTCAGAAAATTTATGCCCACAAATTTTTATAGAGAAATCAAAATCTTTTCGCTTTTTTTATAGAGTATTTCTTTAAAAAATTGTACGATGAAGTTGAATTGGCGCAAAAATCTAGAATCTCAATAGCTATTTTTTATATCGAAATTGATAAAAAAACATTTTAAAAAAATTAGAAAAGATCATGCCCAATAGTTTTTAAAGAACAAAAAAAATTTGACTTTTTTCTATTAAATATTTCTTAAAAAATGACACGATGGAATTGAATTTCTTTCTCGTTTTTTCAGAAGAAAAAACGAATTGGAAAAAGTTCCAATAAAAAATCAATAGAATTTCGTTAAAGAAGCGCTAGGTTTTCGTACTGAATAAATATTATGTATGATAGCAGCATTTGAAAATTAACATTCAATTATTGAATCCACGAGGATTGGGAATCACAAAAATCTGGAGGTGGGTATGGGCATGCACAACCTCCACGACCGCAAGACGGGGTATATAGTGAAGATTGATCGAGTGAAGCTCCACCAGAACTTCATGAGTGATTACCTTCATGATACTCATGATATTGCGTTGATAAAGTTGAAACATCCGATTGAATACACGAAGGAGGTGCAATCGATTTGTTTACCAGCAAAAGGTACAACTGGAATATTTATCTAATGCACCGAAATCATTGCATTCCATTGAAATTCATGGGGAATTTGATAAACGTTTCCAAGTTTTTAAAAAATGGGAATGATCCCATGAATTCTTACATAAAAATCAACATTCATTGTCTTTTTTTTTATCAAAAATTGATGAAAAAATACAAAAAAGAGTTGCATAATTTTTTTCAACCGAGATGAATGCAAAAAATTAATAAAATTCGATTTTTCGATGTAACTGATTCTATTGAGATTTTTTTTGTAGAATTTCCTCGGCTCAAATTTTCTCAATGTTTTTCCATTTTTTTTCTTTTCATCAAGAAAATCAAAATATCTCAATAGAATGAGTTGTATAGAAAAATCGAATTCTATTGACTTTTTTTCAATGATTGTTCAACGATACTTTTTTTCAAGAAATGATAATTTCTTTTGCTCATCTATAAACTGAATAAACTGATCGCTAAGCAAAAGAACTTATCATTTATCTATTGAATTTTTCTACAGAATATTTTCTACTATACAATTCAATAGAATCGGCCAAAACCTAATAGAAAATTCAACAGAAATCCAACAGAATTATCTAGCGAATTCGCTAGGTTTTTCTATTAAATTTTTTCGTGCGTGCATAGTTTCATCAATTTTTCATGAAATGCTGTACAAAAATGGAAGAGAACGGCAACACCTTCAAGAATGAGGGTTCCCTAGCAATTCATATTCCACCCTTCCCGACGATAAAACGAACTCAATTGGGGAATTTATATTTTCCTGTTTCCTAATTAACCCTGTAGGTTCTGAATACAACGGTCACGATGTGAAAGTGGCAGGTTGGGGACGCGTAAAAACCGGGGGAGGGGCTTCTTCAGTGCTGCAGGAAGCCACCCTAAGAGTCATGTCTTACGGTCAATGCCGGAATACATCCCTTGGGGCTCATCTCACCGAGTCGATGACGTGTGCCTACGACGATGGAAGAGATGCTTGTCAGGTGCCTGAAATCCTCGATTCATCACTCATGAGAAAATTTAATAAAAATCCCTTCGCAAACTCCCTGGACAATTCCATTATTTTTTATCGTATCAATCCACGTGCAAACAAATTCTCTAGAAGAATTCCATAGGAATTTTTAATGGATATGTTCAAGAGAAGTTTCTCACCTCAAATTTTTCAAGTTTTTGGTTATTTTTTTAAATCGAAAGCAGAAAAAAAAGATTGGAAAAAACCAGAAAATTAATGTTAGGAATTTCCAAAGAAAATATCTTAATCGAACATTTTCGGCGAAATTTTTCAATAGGATCGACCAAAAACTAACAGAAGTTTCAATAGAATTCGAAACATATTTATCCAAAATCGCAAGTATTAAAAAAAATGTTTTTTTTTCAACTAAGAGATGAAGTTATTCGATTCATCTTGATAAAAATTTCAATCCACCAATCCACGTTTATTTAGAAATGGAGTGGACAAAATGCACCAAACGTACGCGCTAACATGCGCTTATATGGGATAGAATTTTTCAATTATTTCCTCTTTTTGCGCGGGTACTCCAAATTTTTCTCTGGCCATTCAAATCAGTAGGGTTTTCTATTTTTCAGTAAGGTTTTTCTATTTTTATTTCTATTTTTAGTCTTCTAGCAGATGAATTATAAATTTCAAAATAAATCCCAGAAGAGGCCGTATATAAAGAAAAACTTGTTCATTTATTTCTGGCGAATCTATTGCGATTATTTTTTTTTAACATCAAAGAAGTAAGTGTCATATGTTCTGCAATCATCCAAAAAAATTATAAAAATTTTTCTTGAACATGAAAAAATAAGATTTGCTGACAATGGCTAAACATCTTTAATAGAATCTTCTATCGATTTCGCCAGGTCCTCCATAAAATTCTTTCGTCCGTATCTTTGACGCGTGATACTTCCCGAGGATTTGCAAGATTGATTTACGTTTTAGGGTGACAGTGGCGGCCCTCTCCTGTTCCAGCGAGACGACTTAAAATACGAAACGATAGGAATTGTTTCGTGGGGAATTGGCTGCGCAACTCCTGGACTGCCTGGGGTCTACGTCAAACTCACGGATTATCTCCATTGGATCAAGCGACACACGAAGGATGCAATTTACTGCACCGATAGTTAACTAAATTCGAAATTAATTAAACTTGTTTTACACAGTTGAATAAAATGTGATTTATGGAACTGTGCTGATGGTTTGATCATAATTGATGGTTTTAATTTACCGGTTCATCAAGAGGGGAAATAAATCTTAAATTCAATTAACAAAAGTGTTTCACGTTCATTCAATGGGAACTTACACTCAACATTACTCTCTTCTGATAATACAATTACAAGCGTGAAACCTGGGTAAATTGAAAACTCCATCTATTCGATTAGGAAAAATAAACTTCCTCTCAACTTTTATTAGCGTAAAAATTATGAAATCATTTACATTATCATTTTTGGTTTCTCGGATTCATACCCAGTCCACAATTATTGCTGATGCCAGTTGAATGCATGACACATATTCTACACATCTTCGGTAGAAAAAAAAGAATGAGAAATGCTTTCTGTAAAAAATTCTATTGGAGTTTTTTCGAAATTCTGCTGAAATTTGAATTTTTATTTTAAATTCTCCAAATGTTTCATGCAATTTTACTGGATACTTTATGGAAAAAAGTCGACAGACTTTGATTTTTCTACGGAAATTCGTCTGAATAAATTTTTTAAACATTTTTTTTTGTTTCTCATCGCAAAATTCAAGAAACGAATTACAAGATTAATACTTTGGAGAATAAATTATACAGAAAAATCAACATCTATCGACTTTTTGCCCCTAGAGATTTCTCTCCTTTATAAGTAAATTCGAAAAATTACTTCTTTGTAATTTATCATCGGCTGGGTATGAATCATCGATGAATTTTTTATGTTTAGAGTGCTTCATTATGCAACATTCTCACTGACACATATTCTACACATCTTCGGTAAATGAAGTTCAAACGATTCGACGGATTCCTGATAACCATTCTCTAAACTTATTTACACTAGATCTCTTCGTACTCATCACCCCGGAATCCTTAGTTATAGTTTGCTCTGTTTGGAGCTGTGAAATTCGTTGCTAAATACTATTGAGAAAATTAAACTTGTACGGGAGTGATGAAATTGTCTGACAATCCCTTTCTACTGGAATTAGACAGAAAACAAAATCATCAGAGAATTAGTAGGAAATTTCATGGGTTTATAAATGTTCTCAGAGAATTTCATCACTCCACGTGTGGGAAAATTCAGTAGAAAAATTTCATACTGTTTTCTCTTATGAATTCTATTGGAGAGCATCGAAATTTCAGTAGAAGGAAAATTAGATAGCTTTGTCGTGTTTTTTTCAATATATATTTGATAAATGAAAATGAGTGACTGTTGGTTCTTCTAAATAATTCATTCCGTGTGATTTCCTTTGTGAAAAATTCTTGGACCTGAATTTTCCGATTTTTTCTCTTTAATTTCGACAGGAAAAATCTGGAGAGAGTAATTCATATTGAAAAATTGTAATCTTTTTTTTATTCCTATTTTAATGTTCAATAGAGATGTTGAAGTTTAATAGTTCTGACTTCAATGCACGATTTTCTGATTCAACCGTCGTTGTAATCCTTACATTTGAGCATTTGGAAATACATATTTTCGTAAAAATGTCAAAATAATGTTTTATGAAAAAATTAATTAAAAAAAATGGATTTCAAAACATTTTTTCTCAGACGTGAAATGTTTTTTTCATTTAATCCTCTAGAAGTGTTCGTCTGACCTTTGCGACCCGTCCACTTGAAAATTTAGAGACATCTTTTCGTAAAAATGTAAAAACAATGAATGTTTCATGAAAAAAATTACTTTACAAAAATGCATTTTAACGAATTTTTCCACAGACGTCATGACATCGAATACCCAATCTTCAATCTGCATTATTTCAACAAGAATTTTCTCCAGAATATTTTTTTTACTGAATTTTCCCAGACGCATCCACCACTGAAACTCGTAACATTTGAAAAGTCCCTTCAATGCGTGCATTTCCCAAAATAAAATCTACTGAACTGTAAAAAACGAAAGAAAAAAAGTCTCTCAGAGACATCAAAGTGTTCGAGAACGACTGATCGAGGATTAGTAAATGACGTGAGTGACGTTTGAGCTGCACTGGGAGGTCACAGCCTCCTCCAACGTGCAATCGAGTTTCCTGTAGTTCGCTGTACTCGGCCTCCTTCGTCCTCGGCCCCCTCGTGACCTCCTGCCCTCCAGGAGCATTGCGAAGATTTTGTGCTTGTGATGGTAAGCAGCGAAGAGACCGATCCCGAAGAGTCCGAAGAGCGTGAAGTACCCGAAGAAGTGTGAGTCGTCGTCGGGGGTTATATGCGGGAGCTTGGCGATGTTCTCAGGCTGGTCGAAGCTGTCTGGCTCGTTCTCCTGGACTGTTCCAGAGTTTCGAGGAATAGACATTTGGTTTCCGTCCTCTAAAATGTTTGGGAAGTGATTGTGAAAATAATTTCAAAGCACTCTTTGCGTTATAATTAAGGGAAAATTGTATTTGGATATTGGGAATTTTAATTTTGTGAATGAAAAAAACTTAAGAAAGATTTTATAGGGGCACAACTGTCCCTTAAAGAACGTTCAAAATTTCAAAGTGAAAAAAAAAAATACCTTTGTAATCAAACTCAGCAGGAGGTAACCCCAGTGCACCTGTAAAAATACCAAAATCAGTATAAATTGCATGAGAAATTTCACGGAAAAACCTAGGGAATTCGATAGAAAAATCTATTAGTTTTTTGGCGATTCTTTTGAAAAATTCCAAGGGGAAATATTTTATAGAATAAATTAGTAGAATTTCAGCTTTCTATGGAATTTTTTCAATTGACACATTTTGAATAGAAATTCCTCGACATGAAATTTCAGTTTTCCCCCTCTATTTTTATAGAAGCAAGGAATAAAAAAATCAAATTCTGTTTCTCTCATTAAATACCCTCTACTGCACATTCCCATTAAAAAACCGCAGATAACCTGCAGAATTTCCCAACACAATCGTCCAAAAACACCTAAAAACTTCAACAGAACTAAAAAAAAATCCCATCGAATTCTCTAAATTTGTCCAAAGTTTTCCGAAGAAATCCTCACGTACCTTCTTCGGAGCCCTCATCCTGCCTCAGCTGCACGTCCTCATCCCCCCCAGTATTCGCCGAGAGGGTAGACTTCTCCACCTGCACCGGCCCCGCAGGTACAGTCTGACCCTTGGGCCTCTCCTCTTTCTTCCCCACGTTATCCTTCGCGCCTGCTGCAGGTGAAGGCTGTGCCGGGCCGACAGAGCCCTCTGCCTCCCCCCCAGGCTTCTCCTGCACCTTCTCAGGCTTCTCAACAGGTTCAAGTTTATTCTTCTCGTCAGCCTTCGCCTCCTCCTTCGCCCCAGCCTTCTTGGCATCATCAACAGGTGATCGATCCTTGGCAACCCCTGCTGCCCCTGGCTTGTCCTCCCCTGAGGGTTTATCACTCACCTGGGGGTTCACCACTGGAGCGGCAGGTTTCGGTGCCTCAGTCCCCTTCGGGATGGCCTGCACCTCAGATTTCCCTTCCTTCAGTACCTTCTCCTTCTCTTCCTTCTTCTTCTTCTCCTCAGCTTTCTTCTCCTCCTCAGCTTTTTTCTTCTCCTCAGCTTTCTTCTGCTCCTCAGCTTTCTTCTCCTCCTCCTTCTGGATCTCCTCATCGATGACCTGAATCACCAGACACAGGGGATTGACCCCTTCATCTCCCTTCGAGCAGATCTTAACGCACTCCAGGGGCACCTTCAGACTCATCGACAAGGCGTCAACAAAGGGCTTCGTCTTCTCCAGAAATACTGGTTGAATTTTCTCGAAGTATATGCAGAGCTTCAAGGGGTCAGTCTCGTGATTCTTTATCTCATCAGTTATCAATTTATCGAATGACAATTTATTCTGCAGCGCCGGCAGCTCAAAGCCACGACTGCTAGCATGGCATATGTGGAAAGCCCTGTCGTACAGGGCCAGGCACAGAAACGTGTCGTAATTTCCCTCTAACTTGGCGTTACCTAGGGGAAATTGGAGCTTATCGCATACCTTCACGTACTCCGAGTCCAAGATGTCCTTCGGGGTTGAGCAGATGTGAACAGATTTGTTGTTCTTCACTTCTGAACTTATCGTCTCCAGGATCGAGGGGATCTTGGGAGCAGCAGCAGCCCCAGAACCCTTGGGGCATTGAGACGTCAGCAGGGACAGGATTATTGACGCCTTCAGGAGCATCTTGAATCGGTTTTATTTAATTCTCTCCGATGAATTTACTTGGAATCAAATTGCGGTTACAGAGACCTCGTCAGCATTCTTGGAACTGACGTCAACCCCAGGGTATTTGTGGAATCGTCTCCAGGTGAGCGGTGGGGAGTAACTTGTACTCGCGTTTATTTCTTCACAAAGTTCACATTTGTTGGGGGAAGTCCTCGGCTTGGTCCACTGATTGGATGGGGTTGGAGGGTATTATTTTTGATGGGGAAAACGTGCAACTGGGAGAGATGATGCACCGGCCAGAAAACAACTAATCCAGTGGGATATCGCGGGGGTTTCCATCTGGGTGGAGAGGGTGGAGACTCGGGGGTAATGGGAGTCTCTGGGTTATCAGCGGTTGGCGCAGCGCCTGGGCAGTGGCGCCATCACCAGGTTTGAAATCGTGTGGGAACTAGTTTTTTTATTGCTATTTTTTTAAGATTTCTTTTTTGGCAGTTTGGGGATAATTCATTCATTTTATAGGGAGAATTTTATTCGTTTTTTGCACCGATTTCTAGTAAAAATTATGTGATTCGATGCGCGGATATTGGTTTTTTTAATAAAATTATTCGCTTTGTATTTTTTCTGTAAAAGTTCTTGGATATGAATTTTCTAATTGATTTTTCTGGAATTTTGTAACCAGGAACAACAAATACAGCAGTAAAAACTTTAAAAATTTGTGCAGAATGAATGTAAATATTTAAAGAATTGTAATTTACAAATTTAAATTTACGAAGAAAAAATTTTTTAATAAAACAATAAAATACTGACAGTGTAAATAACCCATCACGGCTTCCAGCACTTTAAATAAATCATATAAAAAACCGGGATGAAAATTTCATAACTTTTAAAATGACAGAAAATCGAATTTATGAAATTCCACACTCCAAAAATGTTCATCGAAAAATTTAGTAAATTCGATAGAAAATTGTATTGAATTTCTATGGAAAAATTCCGAGCGTATGTTATAGACAACGTCCAATGGAAACTATTTCCTGGAAAAAAATCTGTACAATTCTATTTTTCTATACATGCAACTTTTTCTGAGACATTTTCTATAGAAATTCCTCCACATGAGCTCTCTAAATTTGGCCTGCGCTATTTTTATGGAAGAAATCACAAAAAAAAAGAATTACTGAATTTTGCGCATGATAAACCCAGCAAAATAACCAATTATGACGTAATAAATAATGTAAAAGTTTTGAAATGCCACTTATTCTCTCAATAACTAGCTTCACCCGACGAATGAGGAATGACGAAGAATCTGTGGGAATATCTGTCAACAGATTTCGATAGAAAACAACTTCATGATCCACATTTCCCATTCAAAAATAAAATCCACATCTCTTCACACGAAATACAAGAATGAAATAATACTCATCACCCCACAACCAACTAATTAAGATGATCATTTAGGGTTAAACGACAACAACTAAATTCTTCTCCTAAAATTACCTAATAACGTGGCGTAATGGCGTTTAAGCAGGGACACAACCACCATAGCAAAGCAATGAACGTCTACCTATCGTTGAATTCCAAACGCCAGGTGAGTAGAGGGGATTGAATTGAGCTATTTCCTGTTACGGTGAGGGGTGTGGCCGACAGCTTTCCAGGGATTAATTCCCTGACAGCCAATCATATCCGAGCGCAAGCTCCCACCATCGAGCTTTCGGTTGGAATGCCAGCTCGTGGCGCTTGCACCCCTCTTCTGGGATGTTGGCTAATTGCTCTGGGTTGCTTCAATATGTGAAATTAAATCCAAGGAGGGAGTCAAGACGTAGGGCTAGAGGAGATCTTCATGGGGATGGACATCTCTTCGTGTGAAAATATTCATAGGGAAATCTAGCGAATTCGTGAGATTTCTGTTGGATTACCATTGAAAATTCTATTCGTTTTTGACCGATCCTATTGTAGAATTCAATGGAAACTATTTTATGGAAAATATCAGGAGGATTTCTTTTTTTTATTTTCCTCCATTTTCATTTTCTTTTCATTTAAAAAATCGAACAGAAAACCTGAGAAAATTTGAGAAGAGGAATTTCTATAGAAAATATCTCAATAGAATAAGTAGTATTTTTTAATATTTTCCGTTCAACATTTCTAGAGAAAAAATCCTAAGCTCATCTGTTTTTTCTAAAAACTAATAAAAAGTTTAATAGAAATTTAATAGAACTTTCTGGTGAATTCGCTTGGTTTTTTATTAAATTTTCTCATGCGAAGTCATGAATTCGGGCTGATGAGAATTATGATAAAATGTGAGGCAGAAAAACTATGAAAATTCATGTCCTGGAATTGTTATTTTAGAATACAAACAGAATAAATTTTACTGTACTGAATTTCTAATCAAAACAAAAATTTCGCGATTTTATTTCCTCATCTATTTCATGTAAAAATGATAGTAATAATGAAGTTTAAGCCGTTGAAAGTGACTGTCTCACGCGGAAAAAAACTCAAGGACACATTTTATAAAGCGTCTGCAATTATCCGGATAAAATACTCCACGAAATTCTTTGTAATAAATTTCCCCAACGTAATAAGGGTGACTACCCGAGTCATTTGGGCGGATATCGAGCTTCAATAGAAATTCTTTCCACCGTCTTCAACAGTTACCTCACATCCCACTCCCTGTATTCGTTTAATTCAAACATTTGTCGCCCATTGCAGCCCCTCTGTTGCCACTTGTTCGTGTAATTTAAAAATGTTACTAGGCTCTCATTGAAAATTATGGAGAGAGACTATTTACACTGTTAAAAAATTTTGTCTAAAATTTGCGATACAGTTTTTGGAAATTTTTATGGAATTTAATTACGAAAAATTGAAGAGAACTGTCAATTTAATTTCCATTTTTCCCGGAAAATGAATAGAAAACCAGAAAATTCTGGTAAATATATTCTTGAAATTTCATGACAGTGACACTGAATGCGATTTAGGGAGAAAAAAATCATAAAGTTTCAGATTTCACTGAAAATCCAATGTAATTTGGCACTGAATATTCATATTAGATTCGAAATTCAAATAAATTAAGGAATTCTCGTCTATGCTGCTTAAAATTCTGGAATTTTGCTGAATTTTCAGTGAAACTTGAAATTTCATGATTTTTTTCCCTAAATCGCATGCAGTGTCACTGTCCTGAAAATTAGTAGTCAACTGTCCATAAAATTTCATTTTTTTTTTCTAACACTGTACATTAGAATTGTGCGGAATGTAATGGATTATTAAGTTTTTGTCATTATTGAGATGACAGAGGGTCAGTAGATGATGAGGAAAACTAGACCTTTAATCCAAGTACAGATTATAAGCTTCACAAGGGTCATAAAGGTCAAAAGAACATTGTTAACAATGGAATTATAATAACTTCTGCTAAAAAACGCTGTGATTCCACAAAGATATTGCAATTTCCACTGCAGTTGTTATCATTTTCCTTGAACAGCTGATGAAAATAGGTGAAAAGTGAGAATGTCACACGATTACTAACATTTATGTGTAAAATTAAATGGAAATTGCACTCAAGACGGATATTTTACATAAAACATTTGCCTTTATTAACCGAAAATTCAACTCCCAATGAAAGTTTCCGGACATATTGACATTAATAAATAAGAGGAGTCTCTCCCTTTCAAAAACTTGAGACCCTCTTGTCGCGACATTGTCTAGTTCCTCGGAATATACGAGGTAAAATACAGCTTACGCTGATAATATAAGGCCTGAACATTTTATTCAAAGTAAATTTCTGAATTTATGGCTCAATCTCGACTTCATAATGGGTGAACCGAGGGTAACTTTCGTCCTGGCAGAGGCGAGGGAGGGAAACATCCTAAGAGATGTTCTATTTGTTATGTGCGTGTGCACAAACTTCCGAAACTCATCGAAATTCCGGCACCGCTGAATTTATCCGTTGGTTATTGATCCTCCGGTGCATTCAATTTCAAGTTCTGTAGAGTTAATTAAGGTGTTTCGTGTGAAAAGTTACAGTAATGAAAGAAAATTGAAAAACTCATGAGAGAAATATCCCAATATAACTGCATCATTGGTAATTTTTTCGCAATTTTTTTAGATCTCCGGCTTCGGAAAATGAATAATGAAATTTGAACGTTTTTGACAAAAAAAAAATTAATATTGAAGAAATGTTCAAATGCATAGGGCTTGAGAACAATGGGACTCCCCTTTCGTTTCACCACTCCGGAGAAATGCAGACGAAACACCTGGAATCCGCCAAAATCTCAACATCTTACCGTCACCTTTTTTTTCGAGGAAGCACGCAACACTCGGCCTCTTATGTTTTTCATAGGCACGCGGCTTGGGTAATTAAGCTTGAGCCTCGGGGGTTGCAAGCTCCTTAGAGGTTTTACTGAAATTCCCGCACGTCCCGTCAACGTCTAATGAGGGGATTGCGAGATGAAGTTTGGGAGCGGCAGGTGGCAGTCGGGGGTTGTGGTGAATTTTCGGGTTTATGGATGCTAATGAGAGTCTAGGAAGTCATGAAAATCTATTCTCGAATTTAAAAAAAATATTGTGGACTTGAAACGATTCTTTTGAGAATTTTGTTCAATTCTTTTCTCTGAATTTCTGAATTTTTCCTCAATTTTGGTATCAAATCATGAAGGGAAACTATTTCTAATCCGAATTCAATCATTTGAAATGATATTGGTGTGCTCCGTAGTATATTTACCTGAATTTTTCCTCATTTTTATTAATTTTATAAAATAATTGACCCAAAATTTACAGTTTTCATTGATTAAATGAATTTATAATTCTGCAATTACTTGAAATTTCAGTCTAATCACGAATACGTGGTGGTGAATTTGCGAGTTTATGGATTCTAATGAGAGTCCAGGAAGTCATAAAGATAAATTCTCGAATTAAAAAAAAATTATTCTGGACCTGAGTGTTTTGAGATTTTTTTTCAATTCTTTTCTCTGAATTCCTGAACATCCCCTCAATTTGTGTACCAAATCATAACGAAAAATTATTTGGAATCCAAATTCAACCATTTGAAATGATATTGGTGTACTCCGGAGTAGATTTATCTGAATTTTTCCTCATTTTTATTAATTTTATGACATAATTGGCCCAAATTTTACAGTTCCCGTTGATCAACTCGTGAATTTATCATTCTCCCATTACTTGAAATATCAGTTTAATCACGAATACACGTCCCTAATCATCTCCAAACAGGTCTTCCCAAAGCGTTTCCTTCGCGGAACCCCCAAACCCCAAGCAAACAATCACCAAAATTAGCCCACCACCTAATTAACATTCCAAGTACCCCAGACATCAAGCAATTCTCCGAATCCCACTGCCCCCCCCCCCTCCCCCTCCTTCCATCCTAGAATACCTTATTAATGAGAACGTTCTTCCTTAGCCCGGGAAATAGAGAAGCAGCAGTTTCACAAAGGAAGTGTAAAAAATAATAAAAAAATGCCGATGTAACAGACTTCCCAGAAGCTACCCCGATAGCCCCCACCACCTTCGCGAGCCCTGGGCGTGTCCCTAGCTACGGTAGATGGCGTACAACTGGCCAATGGGAATCAACGTTGTAGATTCGGGATGGAAACTGAAAAAATATTGACCGCACGATCATGCGGTCCATTTGGGGGTTGCGGAGGTAAACGCGGTGGAGTGATTGGGGGATGCCAAGGGTAAATAGCCCCTTGTCACGTACAGGATCATTAGCCGGTTATCCTCAGTGCTGAGCGGTGATAGCAGCCTGTCAACATCATTATCCAGTTTTGTGTCTTGCCGATTTGTTGAAACATGTGATTTCGTTGGATTCTTGTGTGATGCATAAGCAGTGAAGCAATCTTAAACTAGTGCCAGTGCTTTCTGATTGATTGATTGATTGATTGAGTGAAATATACTGAAGATGATGGAGACGTGTGACCCCTCGGGTCATGCGTTCGCTGACGACTCGTCGGATCGCAGTGAGAGCAGTCACTTCGAATCGCAGCAGAGAATTTACCAGGATTTCGAATCCTCTAAGAGTCTGATTGGACTGAACCTGTCCGTCGGAAGGCAGAAGGATGATTCACTCGTCAAATCTAAGGAGATTCGACTATCCGCCGATGTTGGAAGACATCAGACCCTTCGGTTCGAGGACTTCACGAGCCATGATGGTGCTGTTCCTCTCAAGAGATCGAAGGATGTTAATTTTATAACGGACACCATATCTAGTTATCAGTTGGACAGGTCTAACGAGTCCGACACTTCTTTGGAGACTATTCATTCGAACAGGTCCAAGGATGGTGTTCCTAAGGACAGTGGGTACAACCTGATGAAGAGCAAGCGACAAAAGTACTTTCAGAACAGTTTGGAACGAAGTGGTAAGGAGATTAACTACGTGGTGGACAGGGACTTTAAAGACTACAGTTTCTCGAAGAACTATAATCTCATGAAGGAGTTTCATCTGCCGTTGGAGCACACGAGAGACAGTCACGTAGCTTCTCTGGGTATCGATAGACTTCCAAGTGTAGCTCTCCTGGGGAACCCCCGGATCCTGGACTCTCCGGATTTTCGTGGAGTTCCCATGCAGTCGAGGAGTCCCCAGAGCATGGAGTCCGCCATCGAAGGAATGCGGAGATCCCACCTCCTGGGGCAGATGGATCTGTCCAGTCACAACTTGGCGCATCGACAGTCGATGGATGCAGGACAGCATTCCCATCAGCAACACCAACAGCAACCGCAAACAACTTCCTTCACTATTGACGCGATTCTGGGAAAGGGAAACCAGAGGGACAAGCACCAAAGGAGTCAGCAGCAGCAGTATCGAAAAGCTGGGAGGCAGGAATGTAAGTTCTAGTTCAATTCGAATCCTTCAGATTCGTCATTTGTTCTTGAGTCCTGATTGTCATTTATTCTAGCCTCTTTGAAACCTCAATTCATCAAAAATCTTTAGCCGAAAACATGCCAAATCCCAGATAGAAGGCCTTCCCTTAACCAACAGATTTGAATATCTGATGCAGGTCAGGACATCTCCACGAAGACACCAACCACCTCATGCTCTCGAGTGAGTGATCCTGGTAACGTTGTACCTGGCAAAGCCAAACGAGTCAGGACGATATTCACCGCTGAACAGTTGGAACGACTGGAGGGTGAATTCGCTAGGACCCAGTACATGGTTGGGCCAGAGAGGCTCTACCTCGCTCACTCCCTGAGACTCACTGAGGCCCAGGTGAAAGTGTGGTTTCAAAATCGTAGGATAAAGTGGCGTAAAGTGCATCACGAGCAACAGAGCCAGAGGGTCAACGAGCTCAGGCAACGATCCCTCACTTCCCTGGATGAGGACGACTGTAAAGAGCCAAGTGGTGGTGAATGGTGAAATTGTGAAGCAACTTGTGCAATATTTCCTTTCATTTTCACACACTCGATCTAAGAAGCTATTGAACATTGTGGGATGCTGTATTTTGCGATGAACTTGATGATTGTCGGATTTTGGTGAAGATTGGACTGATTGTTGTGGATTTATATCGTTGCGTGCGTCATTGATACCATTTGTCCATCATCTTGTTTATTATTTGAGAAGAGGGTGAAGACTTTTAACGTCTGAGATGAACCTTGGCGACAGGACGAAGGGGAAGTACGTCCCACCCCGGAGGATTCCGGCTTCCGCCCAAAAGTTCGAGCTGGAAGATTCGATGGAGTCTTCTTCACGCAGGAAACCACGACTACGACGCGAAGTCGCGGACTACGATGACCCCATGGAGAAGTGAGTTTTGATGCTGATAGTTCACAGAATAATTTCTGTGATTAGAACAATGTAATTGTACTGTAATTATGTGGGGGTAACGGTTGAATATCATCTTCATTACAGGCAGTACTCCCCGGCAATGGCCGAGCGAAGTCCTGTGTACACGCCGGCTGATGTTTACAAGGCTCGTAAACATCGGGCATTGACGGGAAAATCGACGAATATGTATGGACAAGCTATGAGCAATGATGATTTGTATAGGATGATTCATAATTCGAGTGGCACTCAGGCGAAAAGTTCGGTCGACAGTCTGGTGGCTAGGAAGGATGGGAGACGACAGAGAATTGGTCAGGGGGCATTGAGTCTCATTGCTGATGAGGATGAGGAGGAAGAAGTGTCTGAACCTGGTAAATATGAAGAGGGTTGGGAGCAGGACAAGGGCATTAAAAGGGTTAAATGATCTTGAGGGTCAGCTGGAAGAATCGAAGTGAGGGTTCCCAAGAGTCTAACGGTTTCAAGAGCTAGAGGGGTTAGAAAAGAAAAATGGCCGTAAGGATCACATGATCTTAAGGGTCAAATGAGAGAGGATGGGAAGGTCATCATAAGGGTCAAACGGTTTTAAGACTCCATTTGATACTTGAGACCGTTCGACCCTTATGATCACTGTGGTAATCTCTTCCTGTTGACCTTTAGAATTTCAAAATATGCCATTAATTCAGATTGCCGATGCGAATGCGGAGGAAGAAGTGTTTGAACCTTGTAAAATGAAGGGGGTTAGGAGCAAGAGTTTGAAAAAATGAGGAATTTATTGAGCGGAACAAGGGAATAAGAAGGAGCAAATGATCCTGAGGGTCAACTGGAAGAATCAAAGTGAGGGTTTATAAATGTTTAATGGTCTCAAGAGCTAGAGGGGTTAGAAAAGGAAAATGGTTGCAAGGGTCAAATGAGAGAGAATGGGAGAGTCATCATAAGGGTCAAACGGTCTTAAGTCTCCATTTGATACCTTAGACTGTTCGACCTTAATGATCACCCCGCTGGCCTCTATTTGTTGACTCTTAGAATTCGAAAATATGCCATTAAGCCTCATTGCCAATGAGAATGAGGAGGAAGAAGGGTCTGAACCTTGTAAATATAAAGGAGGTTTCTAGCAGGAGTTTGAAAAAATAGGAATTTATTGAGCCGGACAAGAACATAAGGGTCAAATGATCTTAAGGATCAGCTGGACGAAACGAACCGAGGGTTCATAAGAGTCTAACGGTCTGAAGAGCTAGAGGGATTAGAGCAGTGAAATGGTCGCAACATATCGCAACATGATCATAAGGGTCAAATGGGGGAGACTAGCGTAGTCATCATAAGACGCGAAGGGAATTAAGACTCCATTTGATACTTAAGATCATTTGACTCTGTTGACCCTTACCACCCTTGTGACCCTTATAATTTCAAAACAGATCTTCATTCTTGTTCATCTATTTTCGTTTCTTGACAATCACTCTTAGCTTAATTATTCTTTCAGAATATACTTGCGAGCCAAGACCAAAAGCCTTCGAAGACGACGAAGCAGATGACGAAATAGACTACGAATCCGACCAATACGGAGTTGATCGCCTGGACCAAGTGAAGGACTACAGAAGATTCTCCCAGAAATCAGTGGAGCCTGACACCCTCAAGCAACAGTACGAAGAGTGGCTGGAGCAGAGGAGATCCCAGAGTCTACGAGAAATGGATAAAGCACAAGCTCTCAAGTACGAACGTCGGGGAAAGTCGAGCTTGAAGCCTGTAGAGGAGCCTCCTGAACACCGGAAACATGTGGGAATGCACAAATGCAGTGAGTGCGGAACTTATCGTCTCAAGACGTTGGACAGTCAAGTCAAGCCTGGGTTGAGGGGTGGGCGTATGATGTACGATTACCCGGAGTTTCCACGAGATTTTTCAGGTAAATTGACTGAATGCAAATGACTACGAATGAATTATCAGCAATAAATTCATCTTTTGGGGTTTTAGGAGGGAAATGCTCGAAATTCCAAGATCCACGTGAAGAAATACCGTGTCCGAAGCCAAGGAAATCCAAGAACATCTCGAGACATCGTGAACAGAAGAAAACGATCAGTCATTCACCCTCGAAAATCGACACCTACTATGATGAATAATTCGACGACATCGAGAGAGTCCAACTGCCAAGCATTCGCCAAGAACAATCCAAAATATTTTCGTTTCATAATCAAATGGATGGCAAAGTGGTAACAAGTCGGTTTCAGAAAAAAAATTTCGTAGAAAAACCTCACTGGAAAATTCTATGTCTATTCTATTAGACTTTCTATTAGTTTTTTCTCGATTTTGTTGGAAAAGATTTTATACTTCTTCTTTTGAGAAATTTTATACAGGAATTCCTCGACATGAATTTTCCACATCACATTTTTCTTCCCTTTCCATGAAGAAAATCTATCTAAAAACTTGGAAAATTTGAGTCGAGGAATTTCCGTAGAAAATATCTCAATAGAATTCTATCAATTTTTTATGTACAATATTTTTTTCATTGAATATTTCGCCCAGATAAGATGCCGAATTTTTCAACAGGATCGCCCAACAACTGATAAAATTCTCTATAGAATCCACTAGGTTTTTCTATTAACCTTATTCGTGCTCGACTTGTAATCATCACCCCTAGCCTCCTGAAATATTTTTGTAAATGTAATTCACCACCCCAAAAAAAATTGTCAGTGCCCCTGCAAATACCCGGAGACCAACAAACAAAAATTGAAAAAAAAAATTCCCTGTACGAAAATCGTCAATTCCCCAAGTAGTCCCTCACGTAAAAATCCCCTGTAAATAGAGAACCTCACCAGCTCTATTCGTATGTATAAATAATCAAGAGAATAAATTTTCTCGTGTACAAAAAAAAATCAAGATCTGTACAAAAATCATGGACTTCCCTCGTATTCCATTAGATGGAGGAAAAATAAAAAATTCATAAGATTAATCGAAGTGAACAATCCCCCAAGCCCTCACATCCAGGAAGCTACACCCCGTTGTGGCAAGCTCCGCCCCAGTCACCACTCGGCTGAAATAAGAGGGAGAAACGGTGGGGGATGACAAGTGAGAAGGAAGGGAGAGCCGAACACCAGGACTTCAGGACCGGTTATCTCAACCCTCCCTCTCTCGTTGAGCATCGTCGTTGGCATCCGCGGCATTCCAATTAGCTCGCGAATCAAAAGAGCCCCACTGCCTTTGTGGGGTATCATCCCACCCTTCCTACTTTCTCCGAGCCTCCCTCATCCCTTCGAAAACCCCTTCTCGTTTCACCTTATTCCCCCTATCCGATGTTCAATTCTGTGTGTGGGCTTCGTTTTTTAGACTCTCTTGTCTACGGGCGTCCGGTTTTTTTTATGGAAATAAGAGGAAAAAAAATGTAATTCGAATTTCCTTCGGTGTGCGAGAACGATATTGTTTGTTTCTCCATGGAGTACACTTCTTTATGGGTTTTTATTGAATGTTTGGGATTGGAGAGTTTCAAAGAGGATTCAAAGAAATGATTCTGGTTTATTTTGGGATTTAGGGGAAAACAACAGGTTTAGATGTTTTTTTTATTTATGCAATGGGAAGTTTGAAAAATTTACGGATTTTTTTGTTCAATTCTGTGGGTAGGTTTCTTCTTTTAGACTCTTTTGTCTACGAGTGTCTGTTTTTGTATGGAAATAAGAGGAAAAAAAATGCTATTCTTAGTTTTTTCAGTATGGGAGAACGATATTGTTTGTTTCTCCACGGAGAACACTTCTTCATGGATTTTTATTGAATGTTTGAGATTGGAGAGTTTCAAAGAGGATTCAAAGAAATTATTCTGGTTTATTTTGAGATTCAGGCAAAAATATGACGTTTAGATGTTTTTTTTTCCACGTAAAAATTCTTATTTTGTAAATTCAAGAGAGAAGAGAGAATCCATTTTAAAAATAAATATGGAGATTTCACTCTTTTTTCTCACTTTGTAGATTATTTTCATTCGTTTTGTTGTGTGAAAATCGGGGAGAAAAGATTGAAATTCAAAATTTTTTGGGTGTGAGAGAACCACATTGTTCGTTTCTCGATGAAGAACGCTTTTTTTATTCAGTATTTGGTATTGGAAACTTTCAAAGATAATTCGAAGAATTTATTCTGGTTCATTTTCTGATTTACGTAAAAAATTGGATGTTAAATGTTTCTTTTTATTTAAGAAATTGGAATTTTGAAATAATTGAAGATTTTCATGTGCAAATTATTGTTTTATAAATTCCAGTGGAAGAGAGAATTAATTTTAAGAATAAACGTAGAATTTTTTCTCCTGTTCTCTAATTTTTTACACCACTGTCATCCGTTTTTAAGGAAATCAGAGGAAAAAAATTAAAATTCACAGTTGTTAAAGTGTTTTTTAAAATTTAAATCATTGTAATTTCAGATTTTTATATAAAAATTCAGACTATAAATTCAATTGGAAGCCTTGAATTTGAAAATCAATTCTTATTTCTCATTTTTCATTCAAAATTCCCACTGTCTTGACAGATTTTAAGATTTATAAAGATCATGAGGATCACTAGAAAAATCATAAGGATCAAATATTATGGAATGTGTGTATTTGATGTTTGGAAAAAAGGAAAAAAATGTTTCTCACAATTTAAACCAATACTTCTCTTTAAATAACTTCAACAGCATTGAACATTTGCATTAATAAAATAAACTGAAATACAACAGAAATCAATTATCTCAATGCGCGAATGAAATAATTATTCATCGCCACTCGTCCTATCAAATTACCAACGTTATGATACCAGAGAATTTCCAAGCTGAAATTTTTATTAAAAAAATATTTTCATCTCTTTCATCCCATGCTTTCCATCCACTTCGTTAGATACTACCCCACTTTGTTTATCATTCGTGGATATTAAAATTGCTACAATTGCGAGTGAAGAGTTTCCGCGGAGATATAAACGCAGAATGCCCGTATTGTACATTATCCACAAGCAAAATATATATATTTTCGAGTGGAGGAATAAAAGGGGGGAACAGATAAAACCAGCGAGAAGCGTTTCATTCGCTCCGCCCAATTCCACGATAACCGCGGTTATTCGATGCCAGCATAACACCGTTGCATATATAGTCAAAATATGGTGGGTGGAGGAGAATATGGAGGAGGGGGAGGGGGAGAACAGGTAGACGGTGGGTATTACAAAGAGGACGAAAGAGGGATGTTGAAATTAAAATGGGCGTTAAGAACCGCAGGCGTAATTTTCTCCATAAAGAAAACATTTTCAAACTCGATTATTAAAATTGAATTGAAGACTGAACTATCTTCAGGATTTTTGTAGGTATTAAAAGCTGCCAAGGCCCAGTCGAAAAATCGAATTTTGTATTTTGCAACTAAATTGGGGAGTTTTCCCATAATTTTTCGTAATAATTTTAAATTTTTATTTCTTGGATTTTGATTAAATTACGAACGCTTTATTAAATTTTTTCTGTAAATTTGATGTTTTTGCAAATTTTGTAACCCAGTTTGCAAAACCCAAAAAAATGAAAAATTGTGATAATTAATAATTTGTAATTAAATAATGAAATGATGAAGCAAACAGCTAAAAGTTGCTTCCATTTTCAGTATCAAAAGATTCACAAACGCAAATAAAATCATCGGGGGAGGGTTTTGAAACATTGACGGAAATAATAATTGAAATTTACGATGAAGAAAAGGCAATTAAAATTCCGCGTCTAATGAATTAATAAAAAATTTAGCGACTAACTTCCTTTTTCTATAAAAAATTACCAAACTCTAGGGATACCGTGAGAAAATTTTCCTCGAATTTGCAAAACCCTAAGAGTTTGAAGAATGTGGTCTTCTGTGGTCTTCACAAAAAATGTAAAATTGTAAAATTGAGTGATTTCCATAATTACATACTATTTCGTAATATGTCCTGAACCGTAAAGCCTTACAGGATCGAGTTGAGTATGTCCATAGGCCTTCATGAGGATCCAATCGACATATTCCGCACGAGAAATTTCAATCTTCGAGAATAAAAAAAAAAATACAGAAAAGAAAATTTTCGAGAATAATCACCTGAGGATTAAATGCCACGAAGAAATTCAAATGATTCAAGTCACTTTTTCTATCCCAGTTTCAATATCTCTCTTCTCTTTGTTATTTTTTTCACGCAGTTATAACTCAGCGCAGGAATGTATTCACAATAACCGAGTGATTTGACTGAAGGCTCTGCAATAATGCTGAGTAACTTTGTAGGCCATGATCAAAGAGCATTCCATACTCCAAAATATGTTGGCTGTATACCCTGGGCATTGGTACAACCACTTTTGCAGACGCATTCATATCAACAAAAGGATATTTACGAAACGAGAAATTCCGGAAAGAGTAATAATGCTCCTCCGCGATTTTCCAACTATTTTCCTCTTTTATCCCCTGTGTTATGACAAGTTGTGGTGCCTATTGGTCACCAGCATTATCGAGAGATTGTGGCATTCGGGATGATGCTATTGGACACGGTTTTACAGGCAACGAGATGGGCACCTGCCAGCTGCAACATTGGGGACACTTGCATGCCCCGCAAACACTAACCGTGACAGTGCGCCCATAACATCCGCCTCGTTGGGCATGATACACGTGGAATGGGGTGCTCAATAGCCCTGTCATCTCATTCAAAAAGTAAGAATGTCGTCGCTTGCGTTGGGGACGAGGGTTATTACATCAAAAGATTGTGGATAGGCAGAGGATTCATGGTCTTGATGGTTTTAGTGGAGTTGTCCGCGTAATTCTTTACTGCACAACAATATGAAGGGCATTATAAAAACTAGAGTCTACAAGACGTCTTAATTTAAGACATTGGAAGAAGGAATGTGTCTTACACTGATAGAATGATTCATTTATACCAAACGAGATTCGTTAATATTTAACGAGTGGTTCAGTTGAAAGGTGAAAGTCGATTGAAACAAGGCTCCTCAAATATGCATTTGTTAACTATTAACGAATGAACATTTGGTGAAACCGAATAGACCCTAACTAATAATAAGATAATAATAATTAATCCTTTCTATCAGTGTATCGGCTAACTTCGTGGTGAGCTAAATTAAATTAGAAGTGTCTTAAAATGAGACTAAGACGTTTGATGGACATTTTTGCTGGCTCAATTTAAGGCACTACGACTAGACATTAAACCCATTAAGATCTTTTTGGTGATTTATCCATTCTCTTACAATTCATTGGACTCATAAATTTATTGAGAGGGTGGAACATGATAAATGACTTCA